TGTCGCGCTTGGAAAGTACTGCCCAGGTGGAGGGCCGGTGTCGCTGTCAAAGGGCTCGATAGGGGGTACCGGAGAGTACCAGCGGCCGCACAAGTCGAGTCTTCGGGATTTGGACGAAGGATTGGGGGAAGCAGGATAGGAAGAGTTGACAGATGGACGCCTTGAAGGAGCACGATGGATGGAAGATGGATGCCGGATGGAAGGAGGATGAAGAGGAAGACGGAGGATAGGACGATCGCGAGCGCGCTTGAGTTGTATCGTTGTACGTGCATTTAGTGCTGTATCGTCGAGCACCTGCGCGCAGAAGACCAGATCGTGGAGGCGCGAAAAAGAGTTGTATCGTTGTACGCGCATTTTGAATTGTATCGGAGGACGCGAGAGAGCTGTACCGGAGTACGCGCTAGGAGAGTTTTGATGTCGTATTGTTGTTCGAGAGGGAAGATGGCATGTAGATGGATAGTGCGAGGACGGACGGATGGAAGTCAAGGAGCGCGATTTAGAGCTGTATCGTTGCACGCGTATGTAGTATTGTATCGTTGAACGCGCTTCAGTATTGTATCGTCGTACGTGTACCAGTGTTGTATCGTCGAACGCGTCTCAGTGCTGTATCGTTGCACGCGCTAGTTCGAAGGCGAGGGACGAGCGATGGACAGGAGGATCGACTAGAGAGAGGGGTATGGAGCTGCGTAGAGCTGTATCGGTGGACGCGCGAAGGTGGAGCTGTATCAAGACGCTCGAAGAATCGCAGCTGGGGATCGACACCGTCCTATATACACATATAGGAGCTTGGACCATAGCCGGGGAGACGGGATTCGGGTTCTTTTTTGTAAGCTGGGGTTTTGTAGTAAGTATTTTGCGTTTTATAGTTTTTTTTACTGTAGGGGTTTTAGGTAAAAGTTTAGTTTGAAGTTTAGTTTGAGGGGTTAGATGGGAGTTTGGATTGGTACTAGGGGTCCTTTGATCCGTATCCTGTTAGTTTTTCTTTCACACCACTTCTTTTCTTCGCTCTACAGTAGTTTAGTTTTCCCTACAACCGGTATTAGTTTTGTCCCCGTAGTCTAACCTCCTGTAGTCCGTAGTTTAGCTTAGTAGTTTAGTCCGTAGTATAAGATTGGCCCAATTGTGACCCGTAGTGACCTCTATCCCCGGCGTAGTGCTACATGGGGCCGTAAGGTTAGCCTCTTTGGTGCAATAAGCGCACTTGGGCCCTTGAGGCTTTGCCCCTTTAGTTCGCCCACCACCCCTAGTACAAAGCGGAGAGCAGCCGTGCTAGAAGGATAGGAATTGCCGAGCAAGATGTTGGAAGGTACCATCAGTAGGACGACGACGAAAGACGGCAACTGACACGAAGCACGGTTTTTAGCAGGATATGGTCCAGGTGCCCATGGGTCATCGATGATGGCCTCTCCGTTCGCCGACAGGAGCCCTGAGCAGTTTCCAGACCGGCCTCCGACAGGATTACCTTTCCCGTACCTTGTTATACGCGCGCCACTTAGTGCCGCGCAGGCTCTTCAGTGACACTCTGTCGTTATTCATGCTCTGTTTGCCTTACGTCCTTTGGTTACCCCACGGTTACGTACTACACTTTTTTTCGTTTTTCCTTCTGTGGCGGAGTAGGTTGGGTAAGTTGGAAGGGTCTAGTAGGGTGATTCGTTGGCATGGGTAGTAGGGAGCGTGCTCTGTGATTTTCTTATTTATAATTACATGTATTCTCTTTAGGTTACCGATGGGTGTGAATGTTGCCCCCTAGCGCGCCGCGCTTCGTTCAGGCATGGTTCATCTTCGATGTCGTTGGTCACACGACGGATAGTATGACAGAGAGAGCCATTGGAAACAGGCAGAATTTCTTACCGTTTTCCATCCAGGTACCGAACCTCTGTTTTCCTTCTTTTTTTGTTCTGATTTGTCTGGTGCCAGGCCGTTGTCGAGCTTTACGCTCTGTTTTTACTATCAGGCCAGATGTTGTGTTTTTGCGGCGGAATGCCTTTCTTTCTGTAATTTTTTGTCCCGTACTTCCCCACTTTTTCTTCAGTTGGGTCCTGAAACGATTGTTGTTGAGCGCGCACTCTAGGCGGCGTGCACCCCACCTTCTTGTGCATATTGATCGACCATCAGATCTCTTGCGCTTTTTTCCTTCTTCCCTGTGTTTGTTTATTGTTTCGCGAGCAGTAAGCAACCATAGACCCTCTTGTGTTTTTGTAATTTTGGCAAACGCGCGACCCAACTGTTCATTTTGCGCAAACTTCGTCTCCTTTGGCCTTAGAGCGTCGGTTAGGTCAGTAGATTCTGTACTACTCGCTAAGTATTCTATCTTTGGTGTATAGCGAACTTGTTCCATCGTTACAGTTGCTATTGCCTACCGCATTGTAGCCTGTGTCCCCAGCCAAGTCAGCATTTTTGTTTTTCTTGCAACTTCGCGAGCCGTGAGCTTATCACCATTCTCAAGCTCATTGCAGTAACTTTCTTCACGCGCGTTTTCCTTTGTGCCATCCTGTATCCCTGCAGTTGTTCCTGTAAGTGCTCCGCGTAGTTGTAATTTTTTTTGTTTCATTCTTAGCTACCTGTAAGACTGTCATTTACTCGGCCTTGACTCAAACTCGGTTTTTCCCCTTACGCGCGTTCAGTACATTGTATGTGCGTCAGTATGATTCGCGCATTTTCGGATATCCCTTGTACTGCGCGTCAATCCTGGTATTTGTTATGTTACATCCTGTAAGCGCGCCTTTCGTACTATGTCATCCACTGTTGGCGCAGTGTAGATTTTTTTTCTCATTGCCTATTCCATCTACTGGCTTCTTCTTGCGCGTGAGTACTCTTAGTAGTGCGCGCCTTTGCTCTCGTTGTGCGCTCCATCTGCACCTTGACCTTATGCCAAGCTTACGTGATCACATCTTCGGCTAGTGAAGTACTCCTTTACCATCTATGTTGGCATCGTCGTATTTTTGAGTTGTATCGTCGTTCGACGAGATATTGCGCTTAGCGCGCCAACCGTGCTTCACAGATACTTCTTGCCCGTAGTAGCTTGGCTCAATCGTTGCACTTAGGGCTAGCATTCATAGCTGTTACCTTCTTGTTCGTATGTTTAACTCGCCTGGCCAGCTAGTGTAACTGCGACCAACTGTGGTGCGTCGTGAGCATGCCCCTTAAGTGCATTTTCTTTCTGGATTTAGATTCACCTGACGCGCGATCCGCAGACACGTTCATACTACCTTGTCTGTAGACGCTTATGTCAGGTACCTGTAGCCAGTAACACCGGCTGTAGTCACAAGCGCGGCTTTCGCCGCTACTTTGTCGGATTCACCCCTTTTACTCGGATTGGATTATACTCGGACTTACTTCTTGTCTGCATTACTGGTTTGTTGCGTCGTTGTTCCATCCCCTATTTGCACACATTCGGTATGCAGCGTAACCCGATTTTGACGAACATTGGATGGTCATGCGGGTAGCACCTACTCCCGCACCTGCTATAGCGTCTCGTTGGCAGTCCGGTTTGAGTTCCATCATCGGTCATGATTATACTCAGTGTGTACATAGTGGCTCCCTTATCCTTGAACATCGATGCGCGATTACACATACTGTCACGCGCCGAATAAGTGGACCGAGAGAGTAACATCATTTCAGTTGTCGCACCGAGTATTAGTCATGTCCGCACCATCCGGTTCGTCGTCAGAACATCCAGAGGAAAGTTCCAGCACGCTTCATGGACGCGCCAGTCAACAACCAGGAACATCCCAGGACGATGATCTGCCAGTTTTCAATCTCAACGCAGCTCTTCGTTTCTTTGCAGGGAGAGACCCCTTCGACGACCCGGTTATGTCCGAACGATTTCGTGAGGAATTCAGAAGGGCGTCGGAGGGCGATCGAATTCTTCGTTGGCCTAAAGCTATACCATCCATTCTTACAGACTTTGAGGATGACGAGACCATCGATGAATCGGGAGTAGAAGACAGTGACGACGTGCCTGAAGACGTCATCTGGCGGGAGTTGATGGAAGTCCGTGGACGAGTACCTATGGCGAATCCACAAGACGCGCAGACGGATGCGCAATCGGGTGATACTGCGGACTCGAACGGTACTAGTAGGCAACACTAATTTTGAATTTTGTTTTGAATTTTCCTTTTTTATAGTTTACATTTCTAAATTTACTAACGTTTTGCATTTGCGCGTCAGTCAATTTTCGCACTGTAACATCCTTGTAACTGTCGCGCCTCTAAAATTTTATTTTCATATTTTGCCTACTTACCGTGTAAGATCTGTCGCGCTAGTTAAACCTAGCAACTAACACCATCTGGCGCACTTGTGGAGCGCTTTAACATCTATCGCGCCATGTAAAGTCCCGCGTAACATCTTAGTTTTTCAGCTCCTCATCAGTTATACTTCCTATTGTAGCAGCGCGTTAACATCATTTGATATTTCCGCTAATTTTTCTAACTTGTTTTTATTGCTAGTCGATCGAGCAGCCTAGCGGTATAGTCTGCTTTAGGAAGTTGCAGCCGTTACCGGACGCGCCGTCTTATCTGCCTGAGTCCCGACCATAGAGCCACTACGAGCAGTCCATCAGGCTCCTGTAACACCTGCTCTATAGGTTGGGCCGTCTTTCCTTGAAAAGACCCATAGTGCTGCACCCCGGGTCCTTGAGTTGCGAGGTCGATCTCCTCGTCGAGGCATTTTGTCCTCGGCGGGAGGCTGGACCTTCGTCCAATTCGGTCCGGACGGCTGCTAGATGCACAAATTCGGGGATGTTTCCGGAAAGACGTAGTATTTTTTTTGTCTGGAGGCCAACACCCTCTCAGTTTATCGTTTTATTTTGTGCCCTTTTATTGTAAATTAAGTCAAAATTAAGGAAGGGTGGAGGTTTCCCTTTGTTTCAGGGTGTGCGTTCCAGGACGCGCGTTATGTAGGTTTGTGGGTTGTAAGTTTTGTTTCGGGCATTACGCTTCCTCGATGATGAACGTACGAGTGTATTTAGAGTGGTTAGATGTGATGGTACGAGGGACGTAATGCGGTTTGGATGCGCAGTAAGATCAGCGCTGGTCGAGAAGGATGGTGAGATGGCGAGATGGAGCGATGATGATGCTATGGGCTGGAGCGTCTATCCTGAAACGTTGTACATAGTTTAGTAGCTGTAGAAGTATTTTTAATCATTGTTCATATTTATTTGGTAAGCGCCTTGAGCGCTCCAATTTATTCTAGTAGTCACCTGCGCGTCAAAGCGCCTGTAGTTTTGTGTTTATTTTTGTGCTTTACCACGGGGCGGGTTGTTGCCTGTTCCCTCGCTACCGATGCCGTATGTTTCTCTTTTTTTCTATCATCATCCAAATTTTTAGGTTAAGACAGTTGCCCCAGGTCACGGTGCTATCACGTAACCACCTATTCGCAACGCCCAATGCCTTTCGTTGTGGGGGGAAGTGTCGCGGCTCGCGATCGACCGCTCCTCACAGCATGTGGCCGGGAGCACCGTGTTGCCGCGCGTCTCGGTCGTGAGCACGGTCGCCGCGCTTTACGACGGCTACCTTGTTCGCTCCGAGACCACACCATGTAGGCACGCCCCCCAGCCACCGCTATAAATAGCGCGTACGCGCGCCAGTGCGGCCTCTCTCGTCTTATCATCTTACTATTACCGTCGTGCCGCCTTTGTTATCGATTGGTTGGGTTTCCACGATATCGCCGTCGTGTCTACGTCCCCGTGCCTCGCGCGATTGGATGTATCGTTGATGGATTGTTTGGATGTATGCGCGAGGATAGAATCCCAGGGTGATGAACATCACGAAGCGCCCTGGTCGCGCAGGATTTGTTGGGAGCTTTGTTCGATGCTGTTGGTTAACATCATGGGGTCGGTGTTGCCGTGCCGTAGCTGCTGCCTTGGCGGCGCGCGGCCGGCCTGTTGGTAGCTTCCTTGGATTCCGGGAGAGAGTGAGAGTGTGTTAGTGTGTGAGTGTGAGTAAGCCAGAGTCCCCATCGGTAGCCCGGGGTAGAGCTTAACTCTCCCCGTGGTATGTATATTTACATTTGTTTATATCATATTTTTGTTGTGCATATTTATCTAGTAAATTTTATGTATGTTATTTGTTTCGTGTTCGTGTAGGCGTAACGCGCCGTTGTGGGCTGGGCCCACCCGCAGCTGCGGAAGTCCTTCGGGGACAGGAGCTGGACGCAAGGCAGACGAGCACTAAGTGAGGGGGCGCAGAGCCCACCGAGCCGCAACAGGGCCATAATGGCGTGCAACCATTTACAAGGTTCTTGCCATAATCCTACAGTAATGCAGAGGGATCGATGATTAGTTCCATGCTGCAAATCTAAGTTGGAGTTAGCTCTACGAAACGGTACCCAAAGGACAGCAAAGGACTTTGTGGGAAGAAGGACATCAACGATCAAAAAATGTGCATCACTTTTAAGACATTCTGTAGTCGCACGCATAAACCACAAAAGCTCGTCAGCGTGACTTAGCAGACCAGACGGTCTAATCAGTCCAACTTATGCTGAATAGTGTTTGTTGTTCGTGGGGCTACAGTTGTGGAACACAAACTCGAAAGCGATAAGAAGCCCACATCCGATAAAGTACTTCCGATGAGGTGGCTATCAGTTGTTGCTTTCATCGCCTATAAATAACGCTGATCATTTCGCAGGTGGTGACTGATGCTCCGAAATCTACTATTGTGTGGGCTAATTCATCTTGGCAGCAGTTTTTTGCTTGAGGTAAGTTGCGTTTGCTATTTCTAATACCTCTCCCACTTCCCTTCTTTGAAAAATGTTGCATTAACCATTCTTTACTGTAAAATAAGGTTGGTGTCTTTTTACTTTGTGATCTTTACTAACCTTACCAAACGATGTGCTGCTTAAAGGGAATCAAAGGAATCTGTTTATTTTGCTGCTAAATTACGCCCACTCTTGATGAGCCACATTAAAAAACTAAAAATTTAGAACTAGCTCTCAAGCTTCATAAAGAATTGAATTACAAGGTGAAATTCTGTTAACTCTGTCATCAATAATGAGAACGCATACATCCTTTCTCCGAACACTTCATACATTAGTAAGATTTCTTTTATACAAGAACAACCCCAGAGGGTGGTTGGCCACAACCAAAAAAATTTCCATCAATTGTTGATTAATATCAAGGCAAGTGATGCTCAGGTTCATTAATAAGGATGAAGGAGTTATTAGAAAACCGTATATTCTTGATTGAAATCACTGGTTTATCCCCTACTTAACCTAGAAAAAAAGCAATTCGAACGTGCCTGTCGAAGGTGACATTTGAAGGTCTTGTGCAGGTGACATTGGCCCGTAGTAAACCCCCCATCCGGGCATCTCTCTCGACGCGGACCGGAGTTGAGGTCATCGCGCTTCAGTCCAGCATCCAGTGAGCTATTGATTTGGATGTGGATCGCTTCCTAGACATGATAACCACATGTGTTCTCAAAAAACTCAACCACTTGAGCTGGTCTGGTCAAATGGATAAGAGATTGGAATCACACGCGCGCGGTCGTGGTTCGACACCGGCTAGCGCCACAATTTTTGCTGCATCGCCGGACAATCTTTGATAGCGGCCACTGTCGAAAAAAATCGATGATGACCGCTAACAAGGATATCACTTAGCAAATGGACAGATAAAACAAAACTGACATATTTTGACGGAGAATTCATGAAAATCTGAAATTTTTGGAACATAAATAAAACGTAATAAATAAGTAGATTCTCTTCTAAAGTAGTTTTTACAAGAAACTAAGATTGCTCTGCAAAAAAAAAGAAGAAAACTCTTATCCTTGCTTTTGTCGACAAAATCAGCTGTTCATCGATCCTTCCCTTTTCGGGCGCCGGTATTGTGCAATTTTGCGCCGATTTTTTCTGCATTTTTTGGCAAAATTGTGTGTATCGTAAGTTACTCAGGAGCAACTTATGTTAGATGCAGTCACCTCTTGTCTGCGTCTCCTCTTCTACACACTATTTGGATCACTCTAACATCCGTTCACGTTGAGGTGACTTGAACGTGAACTGATTTGGAAGAGTTGACTGCGGCAGGTGGACAGATGGTCAACTATCAGTTGACTTGACCATCTTATAGCATGGGAACGTGGACGGTGATCAGTTCACCGTTCACCTCACCTGAGGTGAACTGGTGGGATAAGTTGAGTTCACCTCAACTGATCGAGCTTTACTACGGGCCATTATCTCTGACATTTACGAAATCTATTTTCAAAATTATTCTATACCATTGCTACTCGAATAAATATATTTACCAAAAATACAAGCGCTATTACACTATTTTTTGCAAAAAAAGCTTGGCAGAGCTTACATTCGTTAACTCTTCAACAAGCCATACATAAGATGTTAGCCTTTTCAAAAGCTGCAGTAAGCCCAAGAATATGCTCCATACTAAAAGCGTTTCGATATCTTCAGCTGTAATTTTCTAATCCGTAAATCCGCTCATTCAAAGCACACTGTGGCTTATTGTTAGTACTACCGACAACTGAATCTTTTCATGTAGTCTTGATTTGCCAAGTATGAGTCTCAAAATCACAAACCAATTTACAAGTGATGATGGGCAAAACTATAACAGCTGGATTAGCAGCTGAAAGCCACTTCAACTCATTCACTCGATTTCCAAACGAGAACTCAGATGTAGCAACAATTATTCCAGACTAAAGCATTATGAAAAAGAAAAATCTGAGTAAAGAATTTTCATAACCTTTTGACCACATTTGTTTTCTTAGCGAGGTGTTTGTGTTCATGCATAAATCACCGACTTATCGCTCAGCGACCACTTACCGACCATCAAGGAATTATGAGCTGATGCTGAGATAAACAAAATCAAACGATAATATTTCCAGAGTATAACTTCTTTTGTTGATGCGAAAGCAAACATCTCGGAGCAATGCAGGACAGATGTCGCTGTTTTTGTGGAAAGTCTGCGAATATACACCGTTACATTTGCAAGCTGCCAGTTAAATGGTAGTTGTACTGAAGACCAGAAGAAGACGCTAGAGGAGAACATGTTCGCTTTAAAAGGTATATACTTGCTGATTTTTTTATAAACTCTACTCCCCTCAATTCCAATCTCTACCCAGCTCTTTTGTCATTTATAAAAAATTTCCCTCATCTATTTCCTTCCTAAATCCTTACACAATCACTATGCTATCAACCTCTAACCATAAGAGAGCTATAACGGTAAAAATTATTTTGCTTAATCAACATTGCTATAAACTTCATAGTGATGTACCCAAGGGAAATCCAAGCGTAATTCTGAACTGCAAAATATTTCTTCAATATTCCATCTTCTCCCTTATCATCTCACCAGCCTGTTCATCGCCATCAATTCCAGAATTCGATGCCTTTGGAAAGTTGCCAGCAGGACTTCTTGATCTCACTTTGGTTAGTCCCGGCTCCTATAGGGAATGCATAGAACTTGTGGCTCCATACGATGTACACTACTGCTACGCAACGGCAACAGCTGTAAAGCAGGTAATTAATTCAGTAAAATTATAGTTTGAGCTGAAACAGTCAATGCTTTCAGAACAATACAGCTGTTGGAGTCAACCTTGGCCTAAAAATTGCTGTTTGCATGCCAAAAAGCTGCAATGAGGAGGTGTGTTAGCAAAAAACTCCAAATTGTGATGGGAGAAAAAAATCAAGAAATCAAGCTCAAGAAATCCAGTTTTAATTTAGGATATCCCAAAAGTGCTAGACTCTCCCAAACTAGGAGGTCTGGTACCTATGACATTCACATCATCTTCATGCGTGCCCACATATGTCAAACCCACAACGGCTTTTTGGATTTTTATGTGAGTCTTTGCCCTACCTACCTTTGCAATCTTTTTTTGAATCGCATATTTTTAGGGGTTTTATGGCATTCTTCGTTTCTTGGGCTGCTCTAGCCACTGCTATTGATTTTATCACGGATGTGTATGATATGAAAGTGGATAGAGAATCCAACTGTGAGCATTCTCATAGCAATTGGACTGACTGTCAGTAATCTTTGAGTTTAGACATGCGCATGCTTTTTGTCTTTTCTGTCTACAGTAATGGAGCGGCTATACTTGAGACGAGTCCACATAAAGAAGGAAATCTAAAGTCCTTAGCGTCAATTCGATTTATTTCGATGACTTGGGTGGTCGCTGGACATACGATTGGACAAAATGCTATAGCTGGTGCGCTTCAGCGCAAATGGAATTTATTCATTTTTCCTGATTTTTCCTTTTTCAGCAGACTCACTGGGACCCGTGCTCACTCTGTGGAACCCATTACTATCTACGACCATCACTAATGCTTTCTTCTCTGTTGACACATTCTTTCTACTATCTGGTATTCTTGTGTCCTACCTTTTCTTCAAGAAGCCATCTCGAAGAATGCTGAAAAGTCCATTTACATGGATCATGTTTTATGTACATCGATATATCAGGTAGGGTTTGTTCAGAATTCATGAATCAAAACAGAACAAATATCGTTTTTAAAAGATTTTTTCTTCATTTGCTACACGTAGAAAACAAGAAAATCACATTTTTACAAATTTTAATGTGAGCAAAATTTGAGGCGAAAGCAATTTCTGGACTCAGTTCTATGTGCTATAGGATATTCTCCATTTTCTGAAAAGGTTTACGAATCAGAGGTTTATAAGGGTTAATAGGATTATGCACTAGAAAGGTATAAACCTACTGCAATTTAAATGAGGTTATGAATTCTTTAACAAAAATATCCAAAAGCCCTCTCGAAAATGTTTTACTGTTTAATTTCATATCAATCCCGTTTCATGATCTATGCCATGTTTTGTTAAACGTTAATATTATAGAGAAATCAAGGAAGGAAACATTATTTTTGCTGCATTTTTTACAGAAATCATCACATCTAATAAAAACAATAGATTTTTGAGAACTTGCTGGTTCTCATATTGAAGGCATTTTTTAACCTAATTTTGTCTATTTCTAGGCTGACTCCGCCCATCATGATTTTCGTTGGCTTCTACACCGTGACGCTTCCTTTCGTCAATGGACCATGGACTGCGGCTACCGGCGGAATAGCTGGGAACCAAGTCGCAACCTGCCAGAAGTACTGGTGGCGCAATGCACTCTATATCAACAACTTCTTCGACATGTCGGCGGTACGGTGCAATTTTTACGTTACCCTTTGGAGTTTATCAGTGCCAAGACTTTCAGGAATGCTACCCTATCACTTGGTATTTGGCAGTCGACACACAAATGTACATAACAGCACCAATTTTCTTGGTTGCGTTGGCATTATTTCCAATTCTAGGTACATTCTTGCTAAGAATTAGTGCACAAAGAAAGGAAGGAAGGCAACCTGTCACAAATGATTGTCAAAAAAATTTTTCGATGATTTGCAATGATTGAAAATAATGAAGAAATTTTGTAAAACAGTCATTGTAGATATTTGAGCAAAAAATGACGAGATCGGAAAAAGTATAATAGTATAACTCAATCCCTGGAGTTAGAAACTCTGAGTAGATTGTGGTCCATCTTTCTCCTTCGTTGTGAAAATTTCAGAAAAGTAATTTTTTTGTAGAATACTCTAAGTAGATATATTGTTAACTCAAGATCTACAGTTACATACACATGCCAAAGTTTCATTAAGTAAATATTTTTCACAATTGATTGTGTCCTTTTAAGGAGCCATACTTCTCATCTTATGTGGCGCAGCCAGTATCGCTTATGTCTATGTCATCACTTTCCGAGATGATCTTCCCGCTACTGTTGTGGGGGCTTTAGCATTCCCGTAAGCTCCTTTACAATATTTGGAAAGGAAAAAAAACGAACTACTGGTTGATTATTTCAGGAAGACAGCTTCATTCTTCTCCGAGTATTACGAAAAACCGTGGACTCGTTGCATTCCATATCTCATTGGTATAGGCGTCGGTTACTTATTAGCAACAGCGAAAAAGCCGAAAATACACTTGGTTAGTTCAAAGTTTATTATGAGTTTTGCAGATAAGTAAAGTGTTACAGCTCACTGCGCTATTCTTATGGACCATAGCTGTAGGCGTCGCGTTATTATGTCTTTATGGGCCGCACAATTACATAGAAGGAGTAGATGATTGGAGGTAGGGATTATCATAGAGATTGTGTTGGTTTACTGCAAAAGAAGCCTGGATTGTCATTAGAATGTGAAGAATAGGGATTGTATGTAACTAAAACAAAAAAAAACTCACTTCTTTGCACGGTTATAGCTATGATAGTAAGAAGTTTTTTTCTGTTGGCGTAGTATTACGGTACGAAAATTTCATGTGAATGCTGTCAAAATGTCTCTTGTGTCGCTTTTTCACCCAACCTTAAAATGTCGGCTAGTAAAGCCAATCAGCCATCATATCCATTCCTCATTTTGAGATCAGAAAAAGGAGGCGGGCACAATGTCGCCGATAGGTTCATCGCGTACAACTAGCACGAACTGGTAATGTGCAGAGGCCCGCGACTTGTTGCAGGTGACGCGCAGGATCTATCCTTTTGGCAACTTAATACCCTTACCTTTGCAAAAGTGTTTGTCATCGAAAGGTGTACGGAACAAATGAATAATAAAAATAATAAATGAAAATGATGAAGTAACAATATAATAAATGCACTTATAAATCAAGGTTCTAGGGCTTTTCTCCAAATCTTTAACACAACCTTTGTTTTTAGCGAACTCCTTAGAGCCTCCTACAACAACTTCTCTAAAGTGGGATGGAGTTTGGCAGTCTCGTGGGTGATCGTAGCCAACCATTATGGATGGGGAGGTAAGCACTGCACATCTAACAGATATGGAATGCGTTAAAATTTCTCTTAGGACCAGTTGCAACTTTCATGGATCATCCCCTTTGGAAGCCATTGGGACGGCTATCCTACTGTGGTTACATAGTGCATTATTTTGTAATTCAGTATGTATTCAATCTCGACGATAGGCCAGCTCACTACGTTTCTATATGGGAAGCAGTAAGTTATCTGGTATTATCTGAAGAAAAGCGTAGATTTTGTCCACTTACAGTACGTCTACCGAGTGATCCCAGTCGTGGTGCTATCCTATATTTTTGCATTCTTTTGGAGCTGCCTATTTGAAAGTTCCATCATAAAATTGGAAAAAGTGCTACTCAGCAAGGCAGTGCTTAGCAAGAATGGCAAGAGCAAAGAGCCGATTGTGGATGAGAAGAAGAACGGTCCAAGCTACACTTATCGGCCGCAACCCTTCGATATAGAAAGTATACGCTTGTAAGAATGTGGGTAACGAAGATCTCTTTTGTAATTATCATGACTTATAATAAGCGGCTTAATCTGAAGTTGTGTGGAGTTTGTCCGTTACGAAATTACAGTGAGGAATGATTTACGATACTAAACATCATGTGAGGTTAAGATAGCGAGTATGGTTCATTTTTAACTACAGCTCACGTTGCAATAAATCGAACAATGATTTGAGAGACAAGCTCTCAGAAAGTGAGTTTACCACGGTTCACGATGCCATGCAAACCTCTGCGAAGCAGAGGTGAAGCGCTGGTGTTGTAATATTTTTGCGTAATTATGTATTCTTGGTAACCATAAATATGCTTATTGAATCAGTATTGCTACAAATGCTTACTCGTTTTCAGAAGAGAAAATTGCGAGGTCGTTCCACTTCAATATGTTCGTACGTATCATCATTTGAAGTGATAAAGGTGTGCGGGGATGTCTTACCAGATCATGAAACAAAAAGGGGTGAGGTCATGGAAAGATTTGTTTGTGAAGGGCAATCGTAGCATCGGTGGTTCAGTGGTAGAATGCTCGCCTGCCACGCGGGCGGCCCGGGTTCGATTCCCGGCCGATGCAATGTTTTCACCTTTTCGACGGCGTGAGATTTCATGGAAGCAAATCGCTTTTTATAGATGATCACACAATTGGAACTTTACAAAGGAAGTAAAATTTTGCTGGCGGTAGATGGAAGTAAAAAAGGGATGAAAGTTGCATGATAGAAAAATGTTAAGTTGTGAGACCGTTCCTGGATTGGACATTTCGATTGCATATAATCAAGCTTTGCGACTTCAGCATTTGTAGTGGAGTCTTCTCGCAAGTAATTGAAAAGCGTCATCAAAAAATCTTTTATTTGGCGGTTTTGTACAAAAGTTTGTATGAAAGATATGACAAGTTTCACAGATGAAATAGCATTTACTGCTCACAGCTATATGAATGATATAAACGACGAAAACGGAGCACTTGTGATATAAAGGAAGAATTACCAGTGAACGTTAAGGTGCACTTCATGATTTGACTACAAGAGATTCTTCCTAGGTAAAAATTACCGGCCAGCTGAATATTTTATTTCGCTACACAGAAACGCAGTTGACAATCAAAGCATTGATAAAAATGGCTAAAATGTACATGGTTGTATCTCTGCATTAACGAGGCGGACGCTGCGAAGTTGTGGATGTAGTTTGAACACGAGTTAGGTTCACCTTAGCCCACTCAAAGGAACATAGCATTGACGTAAATGCATCGTTATTTCCGCTCCAAATTGAGCATCCAAATTTTAGTGGTCTTGCAGGACTTCCAAGTCCTTTCTTCACTGCTCTCTGAACGTTTTAATCTGTTCTTGAAACAGGAACTATCTAAATTTTCTCATACCCTAAGCAAATGAGGTTAATGTTTTAATAAGAATTTTCTAAAAAGTGACTAAAAATTTTATCGTATTATTGGAGCTGTGTTAAGGGCCAGGCATACTTCACGCGATTTCAGTCGCGACGCGATCTGGCGATATTCCAATGGTTCATAATACACTGTAAACACTTTTGAATGTACAGGAAGATAGGGTATTTTAGCAAGCCACGTAAGTTATACATACTATGCACGTGCAGTTTGCTAGTGTTGGATGTGTAGACTTCTGGCGAATTGCCAAATCGCGTCGCGACTGAAATCGCTTGAAGTATGCCCTGCCCCTTAGCGCTCAAGCACGTAATTTGTAAGTGGTGGTGCTTCTTCTCACCTTCACTAATTTGTCAATGTTTTTCTTTACAAAAAGCTCGACAATTTCAAAGTTATCCAACGAGCTGAAATAGATTTAGAAAAATCGTTGCAAAATAATTAACTAACGCGCACCCCTCGTGTAAGAAGCAAAGCGTTCCTCTTGGTCTTTTTTTACATCTGCCCTTCTTGTCGTGCTGCATCACAGTGGCCTCACGTTCGAGTGAGAAATCGCACTCCTGCAAAGGCGTAACTCTTCTCAACTTTCATTGAAGCAGGTAAACGAATATGACTACTGCTCTTATGAAAACACTTCATCTAACAGGATTAGGCGGATCAGACTGTGGAATGAATATCATTGTCTAAGGTTAAACAAACGTGGATTTATTAGGATGGAAAGAAAGTTCTCAGACAGTCTGCTATATCTCGAAATCTAATGCATGTATAATACATGCGCAAATTTGCAGCTGTACTATCACTTGCCTGTGGCTGAAATTTAAGCAAGTGGGAGGAGCCGCTGTCAACGGGGGCGGAGTTTGCCAGTTTCCAATTACCTCGTTTTTCTTGTTGTTTAAGCTCAAATTCAATCCGAACTGTGCATGTAGGTATGTAAGTATGTGTATACTAAAACTGGAGCAAGTGGGTGTTTCATAACGTTTATGAAGTTGGAGGTGGAGATCTGGATTAGGGCAAAAACCTACGCTTTAGATTTTGCGCTTGGATTTTCACTGAAAACAATGATAATGTTTGCGCTTACAAAAGTTTTGTAGAAACCGCTTTCCTCTATCCAATGGTGTGCAGCATGCTCTAATTAGTGCTTATATCGAAACAAAAACTCTGTCTAAAGGCAATGTCCTAGAACTTTCTCCAAACTAATACAAAGAGTTTTGGATCCTTGATCTGACTCTCTGATCTCAACGTCCTTCGCTAACTCACCAAAAGTTCAAAAGAAATCAATGAAGCTTTTCAACAATATAGATCCGTGATTGGTGTTTGACATCACAACGTTATGACTTACTGAATGTTACTTCGAAATTTTGTGATGCGTGCAAAACTGATTTTACAAACCAGCTTTGTACTGGAGAAGCTCTACAATTGGTTAATATAGATTCCATTCTATTTTCTTCGTTCCATTCGAAAACAGTTATTCTGGCATACTGATATTTGAACGAGGAGTTACATAAAACCCTTCAGTAAGATCAGAAACTCCGACAGAATTTGAAAGTTTACTGAAGGTGGTTTTCCAAATGAGAGGTATGTCTGAGAAGCTTGGAGAGCTATCTTCAGATTCGCCTCTTTTATCGCTTAAGCGAGTGGCTTTAGAGTTCCTTAAGTCAAATATTTGTATATGTGATCAGAACAAGACCATTACAGTCAGTGTTTTGGCAGTTTGAAAGAAAGTGGTGAGCGCAAAGCACCGCAGAAAATACTTTGCGTTCGATGAACTCATACTCGTACTCACCATTACTTTTTTGAAAGCTAGAAAAATCAATCCTTTCTCGATCAGAAGCTGGATTTTTTCCTTCTGAGAGACTATCGCTTCTTGCTTCGAGGGACATATTTGGAATTATGTAGTTTCATACCCTCCAATCTCTTTTGCACAAGAAAGGAACAGAGATGTTAGAGAATCAACAATTGAAAAGTAAATAGTTTTTTTTGGAGGCGCTTCGAATGTTCGAAAGTAAATAAAATTGATTACATCAGCTCTAAAGTGATGAGAGGGAGATATTGCGATTTCACGAACCGATTCAATGTCGTTCACTTTAAGTGCAACTTCTATGGCTTCCTCCAGGTATTCGTCACATATTTCATGTACTTTTATCAGGTCTTCTGGACGAATCAGAAGGAATAACGCCTAGAAATGCGGAAGCGAGTAATGCATGAATGGCAAAGGCAGAAGCGAGACTTACAAAAAACGTCAAGCGGGAGAGAGATCTCATAATGGTGTAGGTTTCGTGTAATCGAAACTGTTTGTGTATGCCCTTTTAGCAATTGACTGCTACTTTAAATTTGGACAAAAGGCTATTGCAGCTATCTGATTTCAAAAACAATGCATGTTTTCAAGCTTTGAAAGTGGCAAATTTAGATTTATTTTGGTCGATCGCAGAATAAACCATTGAGGATACTGCAGGCTGAACTTAATTTGAAAAAAAAAACAAGCCAATTTTCAGAGAATTCAACTCAAAGTTTGTATTTATTTATTACAAAAAGTCAGCGAAGTATAATGTACATTAACCCATGATTCGTCTATAAAATGCCGTGTAGTCTTCATAATCGACAGTTGTTTCGGCTCTGACTTTCATGATCATCTGATTATAGTTGGGCAGTTCAAATTCTCTCTCAAACTGAAACACCCGATTGAGTGATTTTTACAAAAAAAAACAATGAACCTCTCGAATGTCCAAATCAGCACGATTGGCGCCAACATCAAAACTTCTTCGGAGGAATTGCTTTAGATGGAAGAACATTATCGTACCCTTCACTTGACCTTGTTCCATCATCGACCAGCCTGTAATCAGATTTATTTGGAAATGCTGGACTTTTAGATGTCAATCCTACCTTCACTTGAAGTTGTCAGATATGCAACGTGTACTCGTGGATCGGACCTTGTGGCGTTCTTTACCGGCATATAACCGTAATCATGACGATAGACTTGGCCATTTCGGAAGTATGTGTGCCTAAAAAGACCAGTATTGCTCATTATAAGTTATCTCAAGTGCTATTGTCAAGCGAGCGCTACGTTTATGGTTTTCATCATGAAAAAAGAATGAATGCTAGAATTTTTCAGGACTTTGCCACAACTTCTACAAAAAACGCTTCCTTCACCAATTCTCAACCTAGAAGGATTAGCCCAAAAGGAAACATGTACAATAATACGGCATATCTAAACCAAGAATTATGGCCTTTGTGAAGCCTCGGATTGGCTCCAGTTGATTGGGTAAAATCGCGCTCCAGCCACTGATATGCACTGTCTCTAGTGGATGAGCTGGCGCCAAGGAACAATTTTGCGAAAACCGATTCTGATGCTTTAAAAATTTCTTTTCGCATGAGAAGTGCTGTTGATTTATTCTTGCTCTGTAACTTTGAAGTTTCTAATAAATTGGTTTATATTGCCGCAATAAAATTCTGTCACGAAGAAAAACGTCTATATAGCTTTTTCAAAAAAATTTTCCTTCATTTTCAGATTATGTGGAAGGTTGCAGTTTTTCGATATATACATGTCACGCACAAATTGTAATTTTGAAGTTTTCGAGAACTTTCCTAATTTTCCGTGGCAAGTTTCCGAAATGGGTTTTTGAAGAGGTTGAACTTGCGATCTGCCGCTGTTATCATTGATGCTTCCGAAAATCCAAAGCCATAAAGAAGAAGAATGAGAGGAAGAAAATGAATGATGAAGTGTTGTCACAGAAGTGCTTTTATATGTTATGTAACCTTACTGTAACCTATGTTAGCGAAAATTATAAGAATGGTAACCCTCACCCCTCGTTTCTGTCCCCAAACATGAGACTTCCTAGAGTTTTTCGGAGATAGGCGAAGAAAACGTAATAAAACTTATGTAGTTTTGTTACTGATAACTCTATGCACAAACTGCTGCATTCGTTTTCTTATATGGCAGCGTCCGGACAATGATCTCTTTTTGAAGAATTTTGATTAAAGGTTGTTCTCTGTTTGAAATCAATGTTCTTGCGATCGTCCAAGGTATTCGCGATTCTCCATTTGTTCTTAAATGCATTCTCTTGCAACCAAATGCATTAATAATGACTGTTATGGTGTAGACATCTTACAGCCACACCTGTAAGCAAGCAAATGGGTGGATAAATTCGACAAGAATCTACTACATTAGTTAGATTCAAAAAAGGGAAGTTTCAACATTGGGTGTATTGCGTCACTTGTATCGCAGTTTTCTGTCCTGTTCTAACTTTGATTTTTAACTTTTCAAACTCTTAGGATGCTAACATGCGTTTGAACTGTATATCGAAATGGCCTCCTGGTAAACGATGTTCTGTCATCCATCTACAGACAAATTATTTTTGCAATAATTTGAGTTTTTTCTTATCACGTCTATTTGATAACGGCAGCTGATGCTGTCGTTTAAACCCCTCTGGTGACTTCTAAATTAGGACCATGCTAGAAACTGATGTGAATGAGAACAAATATAAGAACCGACAAAATTCCATCTCTGGCCTTCCTGAATTCGCGCAAGAATCAACTTGATTCTACTTCTCATTCTCAACCGATGTCTGCATACATCTTCTCACAAATTCAATAAGATTTGAAAAGGTCTCAAGATTAGGCAGCATTGACCCCTAAAATGGAGGACAAAACTACCAAAAACAGCTGAGGTGACAATGTCGCTGAATCAGAATCTTGTTTTCGAACTCAGCTACGGCTTGCATGCACTACATCCTAAAGCACATGTTCATGTACGGAAGGGGGTAAGTCCTAAACTTTGGCCAATTAAAAAACTAGCTTAGTTCCACAACAACCAGAGCAAGTGATTGTTTTACTGAATCAATGTGATTGTAGCAATATGGGAAAGTAAGAAAATAGACGAAAGGAAGAATTCGGAAAACAAAGTACCCAGCATGATGAGAGACGCATATCCTTTCTAGAACAGTGACGCATAAGGGTTGCATTTCATCTTGACGGGGTTCGGTACAAGTTTGCACAGTTAGAATCTTTACGCAGTCAAAAGAAAGTGTGTGTCATCTCAGTGACACCCTTGAAATTTCGTTGCACTCGCCAAACTTCATCTCCTTACTCATTTTTGCCGCAAAAACATAGATTTCCATATCTATGCTATTCGAAACGTGCCAAGGTCAGCAAGTTGTTGAGCACCAACACCCTGGTCATACGTGGTGCTATCGACATTATTTGCTTTCCAAGGTCATCGACTAGCAAGACCGGTCTTACAACATCGCATTACTGCATTGAAACAGAAAAACCCTTTCAATATGATAACGAACAGAGAAACTTTCCAAGAAGCCATTATGGCATGCTTCTTTTAAAATAAGTGAGAGAAAGAGAACTTACGTGATGTTGATTGCTCTAGCACCAAACTTTGGTAATGGGTTAATAGCAAAGTCAATCTGATCTGGTGGTGGTAGAGCCCTAGGAAAAGCTTTTGTTCATGAAACTCCTTCAATCTCAGAAGGCAAGTCTACCTGGCTCTGCCAGTCATTGACTGTATAGCCCATAGTCCGATAAAATTCTGTACAGGTCGCAAATCCCATGGCATTTTTGATCGGTCATACTCTGAAAAGTTTTTGTATAGATAGAAATGTGGAACCGCTGCTGGTAGCATGAAATGAATGATGCAATTGTTTAACTCTGAATGTTGCTGGCCGCCCTCGTCATCGGATTTGATATTTCGGTTCCAACCCTTGGAATTTATGATGAATAATCCATATTCTAAGTCTCATATGGCAAAATATTATCAAACCTACCAAGCTACCGGCATCGATGGCAAACCATTAGAGAAAACCATGCGAAATTTGATACATTGTTGCCACTAACGGCCTACACGGAGTGTTAGAAATCAACTCAATGTTTGGTAGTTGAATCTCCTAATTGTCTCTCATAGGTGCTACTCCACCAATTCAACCTAGCTTTAGCGAGGAGTTATATGCGAAGAACTAATGTTTATATTTCATTACTCTACGGTTATCACAGGAACTTCCTGAAAGGGTCATTAGCGGACCATCGCTGCACTAAATACTTCTGAGGGAGCTGAAAGCTTTGTTACATGGCCAATAAAAGTCGTTAAATTCAAGGTCAAAAATAGCATTCTCCAGTAAAGCTGACTACATCGTCACGATGTTAAAAAAATTTGGTTCAACATCAAAACAGCCCTACAAAGTTGCAGAAAGTATTTTTGAAAAACTCCATCGGAGAACTTTGTTCATTGAGAGCTTTTGAACGGCATCTAATTCAACGAGGCTCTGTGGCGGTCAAACTTCCTACCATAATTCAATACAAATAGAATCGAAGTGCTAATTTAAAAAACATCAGACAGTGGAAAATCGCTTGCGGTCCCGAAGCACGCGGATGCAAATCTAATACCTTTGATTACTGGTTCAAGTCCAATAGTAATAGACAAGTTGCTGACTTTCTTTAGACTTCTTTAAAGGCACCGTCCACCCTTAGTTGAGAGTGTTGAGCTTTTGGCAGCATATAACAGTAGGGCTCCCTATCAATCCAATGCCCAAGTCGCGGCGCAAAATGCCGCTTCGGAAGCGAGAAAGTCGCTTCGGAACAGCGAAGATGCAAGAGGACCCCGTCCATGCCCGCCCTCCCCCATCCATGCCCGCCCATTTGTGCGCACCCATCCAATCATCGTTCCGGAAAGCTGGCCTGTGGGTTCTTCGGAACGGGACTTGTCGGGGTTTTCGCGCATTCTCGCCTTCATATTCGAAATCAGGAACATGAGAAGGCCCTGTAGCGACAGAAACGTGAAAGTCGAAAATCTGGGTGGACGGTGCCTTTAATTGCCTCTGGCCCTTCAGAACAGCACAACAGCACATTAAGGTTTGGAAGATCTTATGACATGGGAGTTATGAAGCGATCAAAATTACTTACAATTTTTTGAAACCTCATACAATTGTAATTTGCGCAAGCGTTTCTTTCCTTTTAACTTAAGAATGTTCTTCTTGCAGCCAACGTATAGGATGTGACGATACTAATATACCTCTGGCATGGATAAGGAGAAAAATTTAGTCTGTACCAAACACGCGAAGCTGAGCGTGACAGTACAATACTTCACTTGAAATTTTATGTTTGGTGATGTCAATTCAACCAGAGTTATGCTTTGCATCCTTTAAAAGACAGAAAAAACTTTAATGCGAATCGGAATGTAGCGGGTGAAGCAATCATAAGAAGTCTAGCTTGAATTCGTGCGACTTGATTTGCCCTTATTAAAAGTTCCTGGATCAAGCGATAGTCACATCTACCACATTTAAGCACGTTCACTTTCCCAATCAAACTCATAAATCCACACCGTAACATTATTCGAACTCGTTAAAATGCTTTCTCGTTATCGCACGACTATCGGTCATGCAAGTCGCTGTGTCCGCGTCGGGAAAAAAGTTGATATCCTTGGATTGAAAAAAATACCCAGACTGGATCTAGTGTGAAAGATAAACGTGGGTAGTGGCAAATAGCATTGTTTATGTTCTTGACAATGCTACGACAATGAATGAAGAAACCCTTTGTGTGACTTTTTTCTGCCAGGCTTGGCTTTACGCCTGTTGGGAAAAAAAACTATTTCCTTCCATAGTTTATATGAGTAAATTTTTTCTGTCTTTCGCTGAGGATCCACTTCGCGACAATTGCTAATTGACTTATGCCATTTCCGCGTTCCCACTAAGGCCAAAAAAACTTCTTATGCCATTCAATGGTCTTGTGCCAGCACTGTCGAGCGGTGACGAAATTTATGGCGACATTTATGGCAAAGTTGCTTTGCATTGGCAGATGTGTTGTAATGTAGAGATCAACTCAAAGAGAGCAAAAAAAAGCAGGTTAGATGCCAGTTTTCATAACAAGCCAATTTTTCTAAAAAAGGGGAGAGAAAGTTTGCGCAGAGCCAACAATGGAAGAATTGATTAGTGTGATTATTCTTTTCTTGTTTTTAACTAGCTAACTGCGAACTTTGAACAATTACAAGTCGTGCTCCAGTACCTTCAAGAGGTGAAAACTGTTCTTCAAAAACTCTGGGTACCTTGTTTTCCGAATCCATGCAGAAGTATTGGAACAAACTTCTGATTCTTAGCCATTCTTAGCCTCTGCGATCAAAAAAAAAAAGATGGGTAAATGAACAAAATTGTCAGCACTATTCATAATAATTTATGGCTAAGGATAAAGGAGTTGGCAGGTTTTTCATATCAGAAACATTTTTCACCAAGTCAGTAAGGGTTTTGGAATATTACCCCGAAAACTTGGAAAGAGTAGATCGCTATCGCGAACCTCTAAACTACAATAATTTTAGAGTTTTTTTTGCAAATTTTGACCACAATACAAGTGCCCCTCTCAGTGCAAATCAAATTTCCCTGCAAAAACGAATGATGCAATCCGGAGTCCTTGAAGAACTTGCAAATTTCACTCGACATCTTTCATCTTGTTACCGCTTTGGATCATCCTTCTCAATTATTTTTCACCTCTGAAGGGAAGCTTTTGCTGTTCTTGAGTAACGGAAAAAATCTACGGGGATTTAAAACAGTTGAATCACTCACTATCTTCATATTTGGCGCCAACAGCTACAATAAGACAAACAGCCAAAATTTGAGAGATCGAATTGAAAGACATCTAAAATGAAAGCAGCTTAAATTTTTGGTCAGACAGCCAATAAATGTGACGAGAAGTTGAACAGGATAGACAGTGTGATGTAGCTTCACAATGCGACTGAGGCCGTGTGGAATTGAGAAATAAATCATATGAGAGAAAATTTTGAATTAAGTCACGGTCTTGGTGACAACACACACATACATGAATCAACAGTGCGGGTTGAAGGTGGGTTTTGATAATGAAAAGAGAATCAAGTAGTGTCATTCGAGGCGTGCGCTGGACTGATGGTAACAACGAGAAATGAGACATCGACGAACGATTGGAACAAGTTTGTTCGGTCAACTTCCAATTGATTAGCTGCTATGAGAACGAGCTGACTTGGATTTACATCGACCCCTGGGTTCTTCAAGGTTTGTTTGACGGGTCGCAAATAAGTTTATCATTTTGATAAACCACGCGTTTGGTTATGTGTTCTTCGAAACTAACACATTTCCGGATTGATTGAAAAATTTTCGAGGTTACGATTAGCATCTACCGAATAGCTACAGATAATTCATTGTGGGGCTAAGCCCTTTCAAGGTGGGCAGCACAGCTAACATGGGGCCACTAGACATCGTTTTTGGGAAGAGATGAAGGGATACCACAGACATGCGATAGGAGGAGTAGACCTGAAACAAAATGTTCTTGACTGATAAGGAAAGGTAAATAAGCAAAACAAGTGCGAAAAAGATTTTTGAGAGCATGTTCTCACGCAACTTACTTTTAGATACTCGCTGTAACCTACTGCGAGCACCCGAAGGCCATCACCATCATAAACGCATCTATTCAACACTCCCTACAATTTTGTAGAACTAAGCTTCTCGATGACTTTCGATGATTTCAAAAGCTCAACCAAAAGGTCGTGTTAGGTCTGACACTTTTGACCGATTAAAACCCCTTAGGGTTACGAATAAATGACTAGAATAGCGTAAACATTTGCACGTGTTCATTAGATATTGTGTATGGAAGTGAAACTCAGTGCGAACTTTTTTATAACTGAAATTCAGTGTGAATTTATTTATTAAGCTATTTATTCAATACATTGCTGTTAGTAATGCCCTAGATAGTAGAATCGCTTGTTATGAATAATGCATAGTACATAAATAACGAAGAAACATGTACAGATAAAAACAAGTGTACAGATGAGATTGCTTTCATTTTCAATTAGCCAAATCTTTCACGTAAGAATCATATTAACAAAGTTGAAAAGTTTCGGATACATTAAATGAATTTGGGTAGGTAGGTGGTGGATGTTGGTGTGCGAAGTCTACAATACCGCTCACATTTTTTGAAAAAAACGACGCGAATGTATGGACATGTATGGACATGTCCATACATCAGCGTCGCGTGGCCATATCTTGCTTCAGAGTGGACGAATTCTGAATCCAAAACCACCATTCGATTCAGCTCGGCGCGGAGAATCTTCTGATATATTGGAAGTGGGGGTACGATGTCTACGATATTCCGTTTTCAGTTTTTTCAAATTGTTCTGCGGAGGTCATTTTGCGAATATGTGAAGCAGCGGCTATCCAGCATAGAAGACTTTGCTAAGTACTATTCGATAATACTGTTCTTGTAGATTATTGTCCGCTGAAAAATAGGCTCAGACTTCTTTCCAAAGGAGATAGAAGCGTTGGTGAATTTTGGAAAAATCACGCGTTTTTAAATTCTACTCGCCATAACTTCCTTCGGAGTAAGTATATTTTGAATCCGAAAACAGCGCCTTGCTCAGTTCATCAAGGCGAATCTTTTTATATGCAGCGTGTCCTTGATATTTCGATTTTAGTATTCTTGAATCTTTCTGAGAACGTCTTTTCGCGAAGGTGTAAAGCAGCGAGCATTGCCTCAGGTAAAATCCAGCAAGGACCTTTCGACAGTACTTTTCCTGTAGATTATGATGTGCTAAATAGTAGCCGCAGATTTCTTTTTAAAGGAAATAGAACGGCTAGTGAATTGTGGAAAAATCTTGTCGTCCCAAGTTCTACTCTCCATAGCCCTAGAATACGAAGCTATCTCGCTAAGCGGATGTGAGTTTCGAAATCAGCAGGTCGCATAACCTCTACGAGCAAGTTTTCCGATATGTTCGGGTTATTTCATTTTTTCTTGTTTTACGCTCCAGAAGCTTGCCGATGGATTTTGGTCAAAATGTTGATGCTCTTGAATTGTAAGGGAACTTCGCTTATAGAGGTTTTCGAACACGCTCTTTACGAAAATCGTGGTCTCTGAGGATTACAGGGTCTTTTTGGAGAGATACGGTGAGGTGACTGTAACTGCATCACGAAAGTGCGTAATTTTGGCCGCACTTCTCGCGTATCTGTCAGAAACCTTGCCTGCTTGCTTTTCTCAGTCAAAGTTACCAGGAATTGTGTTATCGAATGGTGCATTACTCAGGCTCCAGTCTGTGAAATTCGCCGAGTTACGAGCCTACGAAAACACGTTCTCATGAATTTTGCCCAAAATGTAAAGATCGCATATCTCGTCGAAATTCCTCCGTGAGCGCTTGTATGACGTTCGTTGCAGATATTATGTTCGCTTCGTCGAACGACTCCCACTGTACTGAATATGGTGCTTGCGTCTGCTTCAGTTGCTCAATTGAATCAAAGCTATTTCGTGACTAGAGCTCAAAGCACCAAATCTAACACAATAAGATTCATTAAAAGATTCCAGATACTTTACAATCTCAGAGCACGAATGTTTCTAAAGGCTGAATCAACACACTTGATCTCTTACGTTTGAGGCATTCTGAGAATGAGTAATGAATAGCACCAATTCGTCATCTGTATTGCTATAGCTGGCCATGTGCGATTAATTTAACCGACCACAAAATGCATACCAAATACAACCATCAATTTGTGTTTTTTTGAATATTATTTTCTTTCAAATGTCTTACTAACCCATATCTTGCTACTACGTTAGTTCAGGTTTAATCAATTTACTTCTCTTCCCAATCATTACAGCTTGTTGACTTCCTCTTAAATGAATTACAAAAAGTGAAACTATTTGATATTCTTTCGGAGTCATTGGACTCTCCCCGGAATCATTTGGGCAAGGTTGATTGGTATTACTGCACCAACCGAGCCCCGCTTTGCTTCATTGTTGCAAGAGCATCTTCTGCTGGCAAATGAGTTGGCATGATTGCCATCTCCATAGATTACAATAACCTAACTTGATCACGCTCACGCATGAGTTATCCATCATTACAACCCTTATTGAAATTCACTTGGAGTCACTGGCTCACACTGGTTTACTGGTTTGGTGGGGTCAGATAATATACCCACCATCAAACCTTGTTTGCTTGGGTACTTTTCCGTTATCCGGACCCATTTTTCAAAAGGCTCTCATGAATGCGCTATTTAGTTTGAGAACAATTTTTTCATAGATTCTACGAGGACCGCCTCCCTGCCACGTGTTAGAGAAAAATTGACACGTTTTGGTCCAGTTTGACATGTTTTTTTCCGAAAGTATTCCCGGGAGGTAAAAGAGCATTTATGATCACCTAAAAGCTGTTTAACGGTTTCTGTAAGAGAAAAACAATTCAAAACTTATATTAGGACATTTATTGCTTTTAGGGATAATTCAAAAATGAATTTCTCTTCAAACACTGTCCGCCATGCGATTTTAGCCAAGAAGGACTTTAAATGATGGCTGAAGTACCTCGCTACTGCTTGTTTCGCCGCTAAAATGATGAGAATCTATCACAATTCTCTATTCTGAGCAAGTTCAGTCTGTTCATTAATGATAGGATAACGTCATAATCATAATGATATTTATTTTTGAAATTGTTTACTCGAAAATGGGGTCATTAATGATTGAAAAATCGATTGAACTTAAGTCAGTAGGTAGGGCAATACAAACTCTTGGTAAAACCTGCTAAACATGTGGATGACATGTCAAATTTTTTTGACACGTGGCAGAAGGTTGACACTCCTTTCCTGTGAGTTTAGGAGCAAATATGGTACAAGAAAAGAAGCAATATCCTTCTTTGAAAAAATGGGTCCGGATAACGGAAAAGTACCTTTGCTTGTTAAAATCAAAATATTAGGTTGGTGCAAAAGGAATGGCCGATTCAATTCTCAATTTGACGTGCTATAACTTTTGGAAGAATTCACATTTCCGAATGTGGTAAAAACTATCAGAAGCAGCAAACCTTCTGCAATGCAGCGCACATTTATTTATACTCATATCACGAACGGGCAGAAAAATATGGATTGAAAAACAAAAAAGGTTCTTCTGCTAGAACCTTGTCTTTGACAATTCATATCTTCCTTCAAAGTTTGTTAGTATAAATGTTAAGTAGCCTATCTTGTAGCCGCAAGCCAGGAGTACAAAACGCAATAAAAAGAATTCGGACAGAAAAGTTTGCGAAAAAGAAAAAAATTGAAATCTGTTTCTCACTTTTTTGAACATTTTTTCAGTGTGCCTCAAAGTCCTGAATATAGAATTTTTTGATTTTCTAGGTACTGATCAGCTGAATGTTTTTGCAAAAACTGTTAATAAGTGTCCTAGCCCTACGCTTACAGAATTGAGCAAAGCTCCGGCGATTGACTTCTTCAGAAGAAAATTATGGGTCATAGAATGACCGCAACAGCTACCCATGTTTAGGCGCCGATATCTCAGTCTGGATAGCTTCAAAGAACACAGTCAAGTATGCATAATGTAGACAATTTCTATTACATACAATGACTAAATTTTTGAAGAAATCCCATTGATACGCGCTTAAATTCTGGCCGGAAAAGTGAATGCAATGCAATTCTGAATTTGGATGCGGTTATTTAAAGCTCAGTAACTTTACAAGAAATGATGATGAGAGCCCGTTTTGAGCACCGTTAGATAGAGCATGAAAACAGCATCGCGATGGTATAATACCTCTATTGTAAAGAAGAAGAACTGATGGGGAGAAGTTGCCCTGAAAAAAGGCTTGGAAAATCGGCCATTCCTTTTGCACCAACCTGATATTTTGCTGGCAAAAGGGGGCATGTGTACATCTCCATGAATCGCATCATTTAATAATTAGATAATTAGAATCATAGAGCAGTCAAATACAAGCTTTCATCACATTTTATCAAGATTAGGCCTAAACTAATGATGCACTATCGTTGCGGTTAGAGTATAAATGACTGCTTTCTGTTCTATTGTATGGAACGCCAAGAGCGTATAGAATGAATAAATAAATAAATAAAAATGTGAAAGGATTTGATCAGCGCGTTGTACAAGCGCTCACGGAGGAATTTCGACGAGATATGCGATCTTTACATTTTGGGCAAAATTCATGAGAACGTGTTTTCGTAGGCTCGTAACTCGGCGAATTTCACAGACTGGAGCCTGAGTAATGCACCATTCGATAACACAATTCCTGGTAACTTTGACTGAGAAAAGCAAGCAGGCAAGGTTTCTGACAGATACGCGAGAAGTGCGGCCAAAATTACGCACTTTCGTGATGCAGTTACAGTCACCTCACCGTATCTCTCCAAAAAGACCCTGTAATCCTCAGAGACCACGATTTTCGTAAAGAGCGTGTTCGAAAACCTCTATAAGCGAAGTTCCCTTACAATTCAAGAGCATCAACATTTTGACCAAAATCCATCGGCAAGCTTCTGGAGCGTAAAACAAGAAAAAATGAAATAACCCGAACATATCGGAAAACTTGCTCGTAGAGGTTATGCGACCTGCTGATTTCGAAACTCACATCCGCTTAGCGAGATAGCTTCGTATTCTAGGGCTATGGAGAGTAGAACTTGGGACGACAAGATTTTTCCACAATTCACTAGCCGTTCTATTTCCTTTAAAAAGAAATCTGCGGCTACTATTTAGCACATCATAATCTACAGGAAAAGTACTGTCGAAAGGTCCTTGCTGGATTTTACCTGAGGCAATGCTCGCTGCTTTACACCTTCGCGAAAAGACGTTCTCAGAAAGATTCAAGAATACTAAAATCGAAATATCAAGGACACGCTGCATATAAAAAGATTCGCCTTGATGAACTGAGCAAGGCGCTGTTTTCGGATTCAAAATATACTTACTCCGAAGGAAGTTATGGCGAGTAGAATTTAAAAACGCGTGATTTTTCCAAAATTCACCAACGCTTCTATCTCCTTTGGAAAGAAGTCTGAGCCTATTTTTCAGCGGACAATAATCTACAAGAACAGTATTATCGAATAGTACTTAGCAAAGTCTTCTATGCTGGATAGCCGCTGCTTCACATATTCGCAAAATGACCTCCGCAGAACAATTTGAAAAAACTGGAAACGGAATATCGTAGACATCGTACCCCCACTTCCAATAAATCAGAAGATTCTCCGCGCCGAGCTGAATCGAATGGTGGTTTTGGATTCAGAATTCGTCCACTCTGAAGCAAGATATGGCCACGCGACGCTGATGTATGGACATGTCCATACATGTATGGACATGTCCGTACATGTATGGACATGTCCGTACATGTCCATACATGTCCATACATTCGCGTCTTTTTTTCAAAAAATGTGAGCGGTATTGTATATGCACAGAAAGATTTGCTTAAACATGATCAAAAGCTTCATTTGCTTGCATGAAGAATAAGTGGTAGGATAATATTGTGCCCAACATGACGGAGTATACTCGGATACCCTACTGCGAATAACAGCCACTTTGGTATTGAAAAAATCATGTAAAATTGCAACTATCATAAACGGTATAGTGTGTGGTGGGATATATGTGGAAATGTCAGTGCGACTTGATGGTTTCTAAACGGTATGTGAGAAAGGCGCGTCGATCTGAGAGCTGTTCGCTAGAGTCAGGATTTTTCAAAAAAAAGCATATTTTTAGATTGCCTAGCGACACTTGTTTCGAATCCTATAAATCTTGAGTTTAAAGGTGTGTGATATTTTCACAGGTTCTGTAGAGTAAGGTCTTTTTATCAAACTGTACCTTATCCGTGCCGATCTATGGAACCATCGCCGAGAGCCAGACCGTTGAACAAGCAGATTAAAGATAAGTTTTTCAAATTCGGCAGCTTGTCGCCGTCTCACTTCATATCAAGTTGAAAGACACAATATTTGGAGTCCTAGCCCTAAGCATCAAACTCTTACATTTTTTGCGGGACCCGGGCGCTGAGCCTCGGGTAAATTGCAGAAAACCACATCAGAGTCGAGCCCTACTTTTAAAAGTGTCTATTTAGACATCCTCACCGGTTCGAACAAGCCACAGGGCTATTATGTAGTTACATGCCCTAAAAACTTCTGGTACAGCTCGGCAATTCAAAATTGTGCTTCAACAAATAAACGCCTTTTTTACAATGAAAATGCTATAGTGACACCTCGTCACATCCCACAACGCTCAACAGCTCGACACGTTTATTTGCCACTCGTGGAGCACACCTCAAACTTGCGTAATTAAACCCATTGCTCTGATAAATAAGTAAGAGTGATCATGGCCTGACTGAACAAAAGGACTTTGGATAAATGGAAAGAAATGAATAGCAAAGACATGAAACGTCAAGCTTACGTGAAGGAAAGGATCAAGGAAGCTCCGTTCGCCATGCCGTCATATCTTCCCTTTGTACTTGTTGACATTTCCTTCTCTCGGCCGTAAATCTGCAACGGATGAGGTTGTGATAACCCCTTCATGAGAAAGTATACGGTAGACCGCGCTTACAGCCGCGATACTCCCCTACCTTGATCTTCGTCGAGGTAGAGGCTTAATTCCTTGCAGACGCTTGTGTTTTTCACAGTCGTGGCTCAGAGCATTGCGCGCGCGTTGTAGACGTCCGTAAGTGATCTTACTTCATTCGGGAACTCACAAATGGCAGTAGGTCCATACTTTCTGCAGTGGTAGCATGGCGTTGGCTATTTTCTACAATCTCTGTCACCCATACACAGTACTTCAAGGCAGATTTGACACCTTTTCTGGTCAATCTTGAAAAATCCTCTCATACTTCTGAAGTATGCTGGGTTTGAGCCTTAGTAAATTCAGGACACTAGTTAGTCTTTTCCGTGCAGCGGCTTCGTTAATTAGTAATGGTGGGTGATTATCTTTGAATGGAAAACGCATAATACCCAACAGCCATTCTTTGTATGGTTTCATCAAAAAATGCTTTTACTTTCTGATTTACCGCAGCTTTTTCAGCATTTTTTGTGCCGGTAAATTCGCACACCCCGGAAAAATCCACTGTCCTTGGCTACATGGCTATTGATGACATGCCCTAGCAATTCCATTTCTGGTACAGGTCGGCAATTCAAAATTGTGCTTCAAACAAATGAACGCCTTCTTTAAAATGAACATGCTTTAGTGACAGCTCGTCATCCCGGAACGCTCGACAGCTCGACACGTTTAGTTGCCACTCGTGGAGCACACCTTGAACTTGCGCAATTAAACCCATTGCTTTAATAAATAAGTAAGAATTATTATGGACTAACTGAGCAAAAGTACTTTGAGCTAAATGGAAAAAAATGAATAGCAAAGACATGAAACGTCAAGCCAACATGAAGGAAAGGATTAAGGCAAAGTTGCGTTCGCTTTGCTGTCATATCTTCCCTTCATAGTTGTTGATATTCTCTTCTCTCGGCCGCCATCAATCTGCAAAGATGAAGTTGTGATAGCGCCTTTATGGGAAAGTATACGGAAGAACGCGCTTACAGTCGCACATGCGACGATATGACCACGAATTTTGGCACATAAGCGTGAAGAACCTCACAATATGATCACCGATATATCGTGAAAATCACGTGAACAAAAGCAACGACAGGCTTTTTCCAACTTATAAAGGGCCGGTCATACCGGTCAGCGATCCATCGCATCGCTAACTTTTCCAAAGGACAAGTGTTACAAGGCCGGAGATAACTGCGTATCTGTGCTGGCTGTCCGGCGTGATGCATCGCGGGCCGTTTTCTACCCGGTCATACCGATTTGAGCGAGATCGCCGCGATCGTCGTTCATCCTAGCGAATTCGCGTCGCTCATTTCAAATGCGCGACGCGATGGATCGCTAGGATTGGGATCTTTTTCCAGAAAAGTTTTATGATTGTTCTTTACTTTCTTGAACTGGTCTCGTGTCTGGGGATTGGAAACCATGTTAGTTTTGTCAAAGTGCATTGGTTTTCCGTGAAATGGAAGCCTTTTGATTTATCAGCAATTGTCACTCACGCTAAATGCCTTGCACACTTTCCAAGTTGCCAGCTATTTGGTTTCCAACTGATGTATGTTTCGTGGGTACGGCTCCCCTATTAACCATTATAACGTTTCTTTGTGTTCTTTATCACCTCAGTATCCTCATCACGGGCATGACTTATGTTTGTCAACTCTCAGGAGCTAGTTGTACATATTCCGCGGCTAATCTGCACTGGATTCAGTGATTATCAGATATTCATGACTTTTATATCAGAAGTTTATGCTGGTATTTTTTATTTTTTCAAAATTTGTTTCTCAGGAACGAGCGCTCTGCTGGAGCGGAGCCTGAGCGATTGGAGAAACTTTTTGAGAGGGCAGTTTTTGACGAAACAAATGAGAAGCAGATAGAAGTAATCAAGGATTTGTACAAGAAAGCTCTCCGTGTCCCAAATGTGGATCTAGCCGACACATGAAAAAGTTACTTGGAGTTTGCAGGCGAGTCTGTTTTTATTTTTGACTGTCTGCGAGTGAACGCTGGATCGCTATTTTTAGGAAAGAATATTGATGAAGAGATACAAGCAGCGCATGTATCTGCAAACAACTTGATGAAAGAATTTTCGCAGTATGAAATGAAGTTGGCTGAAACTGATGAGAGCCTGGATGCCTTTCATGAGTATTTGAACTTTGAGAAGGGTGTGTATTAATTTTATTGATTAGACTCTTTGTTTTAACCAATCATTCAATAATGTTGATAGTTTTTTCTTCAAGAAAAGGATGATCCGGCAAGAATACAATCATTCTATGACCGCATGTTAGACAAACACCTCGATGATGAAAACATATGGTTCGATTATGGGCAGTGGTGTGAAACAAAGTTGAAAATCCACTCAGTAAGTTTTTATTTGAAGGCGACAATGATTTTCCCCACTCACTCAAGTGCATTGCATTCTTATTAGCATCATGTGTATAAGCTTTTTATAGATCACTTGTCGTGTCTACAAGCGAGCAGTACGTCATTGTCCGTACAGCTGCGCGCTTTGGCAGCAAACTCTTCTTGCCCTCGAGCGCTCCGGCTCACCTGTAGAAGAAATCGATGGTATGTGGATTAGTGCTCAGGAGACAATCAGGTAAGCATCATTTTGCTTTGTGTATGCCTTTGCTGTTGTAAAATCAAAAACCTTTTAAAGCATTCCATTTGTAGCACGCTAGAGGATGGAAGAGCTCTATACAGAACATACCTCTACATGTTGCGTCGCCGTGCCGATGCCACTGATAAAGATTTTCAGAAAATGACGCTCGTCTTTGAAGATGGTGCTAAGGTTGGTAGCTATTCTCGCTCTGATGGCCAAAAATGCTCTGAAGGTAATTTAGTCTTTATCTGAGTGGTTTGCAGCTCACGAATGAGACCAACAAGTTACTTACCGTAAAAAGGCTTACTTTGCTTACATCAGGCTCGGCGATGCCAAAAAGGTGATTTTTTAGTCTTCAAGCTTTCCAATGTAAATTGGTCGTTGGTCTCCACCTTTCTTATCTTATCACTTCATATTTAGTTGTAGGCTTTGATTCACACGCGAAGAAGATTACTGAGAAAGTTTTTAGCCTAGGGTCGTCAAATCTGGGACGATATCTTGGCTTCGGGCGGAGAACGTTTTGCCGAAAAGTGGATTGAGGCAGTAGAATTCGAGAGACATTCGGAACTGCTGAAGGAGCAAGAATGTTCCTTTACAAGGTATTGTTGTCAAACTCTTTTTCCTCCCCTCTTATCGAGCTTAGTGAATTCTGTATTGCGTGCTGAGTTCGTAAGATTGTCTGGTGAAATATTCAACGCTAGCGTGCGAAGGCCGTTCAAATCTGTCCACGTAGGATTGTGTCAAAACGTGAAAATATATGTCAAAACTTGAAAAAACGCTGTACCGCCATTTTCTACGCTCAGTCGTTGGTTGCCATCGCATGGGCAATGGTATGCTTCAGACTCTAGAACTTGCTCTCAGTTCTATGCATATACTCCTTTTTTGTAATCGAATATCAAGTTCAGTTAACCGGCTCTCAATGGATTTCATAGGTGAGCTGATAGCAGAAAAATCTGATCATTTTAGATTGCTTGCAAATATTAATTTCTTCAGTGCACAAACAGTAAGTCGAGAGCAATGGAAATAAAACGAGGGGTTGAACTTGTCGTGAAGATAAACAAAGAAGACGCCAGGATCTGTTGAAACTGCTAGGAAAATGTCCAAGGTGTGCTCTTCGATTCTCATTCTCTTCTTTTTCTATTTTTCTGTTCTTAAATTCGCAGTGCAGCGAGGTGCATTTCAAATATTAATCAACAGCGCTGGATAAACTCCAATCTATTGAGTTGTCAGGAAAACCTTCTTACTTCAATAATGGCGCTTTCCATGCTACCGCCTCAGGGTTACACACCAAGCTATGATCGGCTCCCAGATTCGTGTGGAGGCGGGTTAAGGACAAATTGTGCGCCGTTTTCTCAAAGTAATAAAGTTTGGTTCAATTTTTTAGGCTAAAGTTCGTGTTTTGCACATTAGCTTGTCAAGCATACCCATCACTTTGCAAAAGTTGTGCCACAGGCTCAGCTTTACTAGTTGAAAGCCAAGTGGATCCGATTGACGCGCATTTTTTGAGGGATCCACGCAACGGATCCGCTCATGCTTTTGTATGTTGTACTTTTATGTTGGTAGTATGCGCTGTGCAAAATTTGGGCTGGAGGTTGGCTGGAACTCGCTCTACGAATTTCGTGACAGACAGAGATTCAGACACACACACACACACACACACACACACACACACACACACACACACACACACACACACAACACACACACACACACACACACAAACGTAAACAACCCTTAGCCCGTTATTATAAATTATATTTTTGTTACAGTAATATGCAGAACATGTTCAAGATGCTGGAATGTATCTGCGAGCCTGGATTGATCTCCTCTTCGTCCGTCGACGGACTTTATGGAATAATGATAATGTTGAGCATTTACCAAGCAGCACTGGTCTTTAATGCGAAGTATACTGTGCAACTCCGATGTGGAATCCGTTGTAAAAATCTATATACAACTACACAGTATTGTGCCAAATAAAGAATGCTACTTTCTGCTTTTCAGTTATTCATCATGAGTAGAGCGTCTGCATATTTTTAATTGTGTTGCGCCCCTATGATATGTCGTCTGTTTGCATTGAATCTAGTTTCTTCATTCTATAACTAGTATATGTTATATTTCAGGTGATTCCAGTCACCAATTATACACTATTGAACCTATAGTCCGATTTAGGCGCTGTTTCCTAGTGAAGGAGTTCTAGGATTTGTAAGGTAGGGCTTTGCAACAATATTCAAAATAATTCCTTGGCGAGTTTGCTAATTTAAGTACCAGAAAATTTCAAAGTCTCAAAATGTCAAATCTCAAAATCTCAAGTTGGCAGTCATCTCTTTCCAGATGAAAAGATTTTGAAGAGGTTTTTTTGTCGTTAAACGACCATGAAAAACACTTTTTGATCGATTTGGTCGGAAAAAGGCCAGCTCTGTGGAATAAGCTAGAGTCAAATTACAAGAACCTGCATGTCCGATCTATGGCTTGGAGGCTTGTGTGCGAAGAGATGTCGGAAAAGTTTGGACGACAGTATGATAGTAAGATGAAGTTCCCAATATATAAGCTGCTATGATGTGTTCCCTTCAGGCAAGCTACTTCAGAAATGTTTTAAAAATTTGAGAGATACTTACGTCCATAAAAGGAGGGAATATGAAGATGTCATTCGAAAAAGAATAGGTCTCGAGTCTGGCATACTTGAAAAAATCACATCTTGGCCGTTCTTCGCAAACCTACGTTTCATCGATCCACCAGTTGACGATGAAGGTTTCGTTACCATACAAAATTTGAAAAAATCCGTCCTTTGTGTTTTAGCATGCGTTATTGTAATGTGGAGTCTGAAGAAATCGTTGAAGTGGTAGAAGAGCTGGACAGTATTGAACCGGTTGGTATCCTATCAATTAAAAGTTCCACTGAAAAGTTGATTGTACAGAAGAGAAAGTTTGTACAGAAGCGCGAATGTGCCATCGCCATCTCGAAACCGAAAACCGCCCTGGTGCCTTCCAGCAAAAAGTTAGAGAGAAAGACTAAAGAAAAAGATAGTGAGTGTTTTTGGCAATTTTGCAGCACTTGCGGTCAATTACTCTTTCAGCTGTGGACCAAATAACATCCGTTCTGGAGAATTTAGAAACGCCAGATAGATTTGAATCAACTGGTGAGTTGTTGTTATTGTTATTGTTGTTGTTGTAATTATAGAAATTCTAAGTTTAGGGCAAGCACTGTCGGCCAAGCTCCGTGAAATCATAGACTGGATAAACTCACTGCTGAGGAGTATTTCATCAAACTTGATGAGATACAGGTGCAGATGTCTCGTTCCATTTATGACCTCCAAAGGGCAAGAGCGGAATGACCTAGCATAGGTTTTGTTCTTTTCATTGTTGAATCGGTGCTGTAATTATAGTTGTTCATGTCGTTTTCTCTAGGCTAGCAAGGTTGTGAAATTCTCTTCATCTTCAGGATTTTCCTGATCTCAAATAGGTGCCTTATTCATTGTTGCATCTCTAATAGGTGCCTTGATCTCTGTTGTTGCTGCTTAGCGGCCTTATTTGCATTCATCAACTTTGCCTTTGGGTGTACTCATTCCATACCATTAGTGATGTTTGTTTCTGTGTGTTTCGTTGTTGTAATATGAAGATTTACTGTTGATCATAAAAACATGTGAATTAAAAATCTCATAAAATCTCAAACTTTATAATTTGGCATTCCAGATATACCGCCTTTAAAAATACGCAAACAATAAGATATTCCAGATCTCCCCTAATTTAGAGTATTATTTCTCCGAAAAGGACGTGCGATGAATAGAGTTGTTCTACAACTAATTCAAATGATGGTAAACATGGTAAGTCTATCTAAATTGCTATTCGCATTCAAAGAAAGAGGTTTCTTGTTGAGGATATAACGACCGAAGCAATCAGTGCATGCGTGAACGTGATCAAAAGGATTTCAAAAAGAAGAATTTGCCGATTGTGCCGGTACGTAGTCAATTGTCATTCTCGAAGGGTTTCAACTTTTACGCACTTCATATCCTTGATTACTGTCATCGCATCGCACATGCTGCCTTCTAGGTTCGCACTAATCTTTCAAAGTGCCTCCATAACGCACCCCCATAGCCGGCGTTATCCGCCTACTGGCTCTTCTACGAATTTCGGCTGTGGGGGTTAAAAATAAAGCAAGGACTTTGCACCTATTTTTGCTTAAGGTCATTGTTCATGAACACCATAATTTTTTTGTATCTACCAAAGCCCCTAGGATACTGACAATGAGATAGCGCTCAAAGCGGGTAGCGGCGGCTACGAGCGCGGTATTAGGGTACCATCACTCACGGCGGTCAATCACAGTGAATCTTTTTCCCGTCATTTTTATATAAATATACTTGTTGAGATTTTCTGAGAAAAAGTCTTACACCCACTATTCAAAAACTTGCAATCTTTTGTGAATCCATGTCGTCCAGGGAAGGACGAAAATACAAATCTTTTATCTCAGAATTGTACTCAAAAACCGTTAACTCGGAACCTTCCACTCGCCATTGAGGATGATGAATGCTCATGCTGATCTTCTTATTGGAATGATTTAGAAAACGAAATTGTCCTCACATCATATCGCTGCTAGCGCAGCTGATGATGTCAGCTGAACGAAAGAGGGAGAGGGCGACGTATATGAATAGGACGCATCTAATTCAAGCCCATAGTCGATTCTCCACTTTCAAAGGATATCTCATGGAAGAGGATGATAGAACTCGTGCTGAATTTAAAATGCTATATGATTGCTTATGCGGTCGTTTGCAGCATGAACAAAGTCACCGTTATCCTATTCACATAAAACACAGGATAGCGATTTGCTTGAGGTAGGCACCTTCATGTGAGTGGGTGGAGGCTATAACGCTAATCCCAGATATCTTGACCACGGACGGAGCCTTCACGCTTGCGCGCACGAGTTTAAGCTTGGCCGTTCAACAGTGGCAACCATTGTGTACGAAGTTTGCCAGGCAATAGTAGATGGTACTGCGTATAAGTATGGTTGATTGTTACATAAAAATCCACTTAATAGTTCGTATAGGAAGTGCTGCCGAATCCCACGGCTCAAACCTGGGCACGCAGTGCTCATGGTCTTCAGAGCAACTGGGGATATCCAAGGGGAGTCGGAGCTATAGACGGCAAACATTTTAGGTGCACGTTAGGCTGTCAGATGTTATTCTGGAACATTCATCTGACCTAAAAAAGTCATTCCAGGCTCCCAACAACTCAGGGAGTAGCTACTTCAACTATAAAGGCCATTTCTCCATTGTGCTTTTGATAGTAGCGGATTCCCATTACAAGATACTACTCCTTGATGTCGTAGGAAAAGAAAGGAACTTTGATTCTGGTATGTAGTAGGAGGTACCATAATCGGATTCGTTGCACGATTTTTAGGCCTGTACCGCACTTCCCCGATAAAACACTTCTTGGAAAAGTCAAAAGTTTTTTTTCCACGTCCAGCACCTTTAGAAGGTGCTGGAGTGGTAGAATATCACATACTAGCCGACGGCGGCTTCCCTCAATCAACGCACATGCAAAGGCCATACCAGCAGGCCGAAGCCCTACGTGACGCAAAAAAATTACACTTCAATGAATGTTTCAGCCGGTGCGTTGCAATAGTTTATGCCTTATGTCAAGTGTTTCCCCACAGTTTCAGAGCGAGACGTGTGTTGAAAATGTCTTCGGAATCATAACCTCCAGATTTCGGCTATTCCAGGGACCCTTAACCTGATCAGTAGACCACTTAAAACTTCTCGTTTACTCGGCGTGTGTAAGCCGCTATGATTATTGTGATGCTTTCATTTACATTGCAGTATTTAGGTGTTACATAATCTTCTAGTCGGACGGATCAGTCAGGAAGAATTGTTATGAAGATATCCACAAGTGGACACAGTTTCTGATGAAAGTGAAGCCAGCTTCGGGGACACGCTTTCACATTACTGCAGATGCACACAGGCAACGGGGTCGAATGGCCGACTACTTTGCTCAGAGAGACGGATATCAGTGACAGTTTAGGTTCGTTAACTACGCTCGTATTAGCTATGTTGGTTGCGTCTTTGCAGAACTTGTCTCTTGGATTTTTCAAGATTATTTAAATTTGGATTCCAAGATTATGTATTTTGCCTCTCTTATACTTTTCCGTATCATTTACTTACTGCTTCACCTGTCAAGGCAGATCAAGGTAGTATTTGCTCCTAAATATGTTTCTTCATTAACGTCTGTTTCTTCAAGGAGGCCCCTATGATGTATGCCACCGCCGTAAGCGAAGTTGTTCATCGTCGAACTTTTCAGAAAGAGTTTGCGCAGTTGCGGCAAATTGCGGCGGATTTGCGGCAATACTCAAAACTTTCCAATAAGTCAAAATTGCACCAAAATTTATATTATACTTTAGACTGCGCAGTCGTGTAAGAGGGTGGATCGACGACAGCAAACCGCCTCTATTTCCTATTATGAATTCAAAGGACTTCAAATTGGCCCTTGAAAAGGCGATCGACCGACTAGACGCAGCGACTAAACCAAAAGTGGATGAAAGACCTGAACAGCCTATGGAAGTAGGCGATTCGAACTTCGAACTTGAGACAAAAGAGGTGGGCCTTATCAAAAAAAAAATCATTTGATAATTCTATGAATGAAATATTTTAGACACACCATGATCCAACTGAAGCGATTTATGAATGGTCAGTGCCAGCACAACCACGCAAAACGCAAAAAGCACCACGTTCATGTCCCACACAAAGAGATTTATTGAATTTATCATTTCATTTCAGGTACCATAGTGGAACATTTCAACTACATGCTACATATGGTTTCATTTATTCTTCAGCCATTTATTTCCGCTATTGTTTTATGATTTGCTCTGTGCTGTCTGCGAGATTAACTGTCCGAGTGGTGAACACGGGTTAAAGCGAACGTGTACATCGTGTTCATAATAACAATTAGGCAGATTTTATAACAATGTGGATAAGACAATGCTTATGTGAATGGTTTTACTCTTAAATTCTCTACAAAAAAATACCACTAATAAATAATACCATGAAATGTGTTGTACACCAAAATGATATTATCTGATTGATTCCCAGTGGACTATTCACCAAAACGTCAAGCACACCTTCGTGTAGCAGTGAACGCAGGAACGCTCCGCACGATTGGTAGAGAGTATCAAACCAAACACAGATTCTAAACATGCGTAATCTATTGTAAAGAAAACTCCAAAAGAGAGAGCGGATCTCACCCGCATTTTGTGAGGCTTTTCGAGCTACAAAAACTCCAGGTAAATGGTCTTGTTGGTCGAGATTAGGATCAACTATGTAAAAAAGTAGAAGTAAAATGTACTACTTTACTATAACTACTTGTTTGCTATGCAACAATGAAGTGTTCAGATACTTAAACAAGGACAAACATGAAGAAAAATGATAAATCATTTACCGATCATTGGCTCACAAAGTTAGTATGCTCTTTCAGCCAATGTTGGGTAATTATACAAGAAACGAAAAGAAAGAGCTTTTAAAGATTGATACAACATAAACTGAAAAAGATTATAATCACAGGCAACGTTCACAGAAACAAACATCACTAATGGTACGGAATACTACGCCCAAAGGCAAAAGGGATGAATGTGAATAAGGCGCTAAGCACACATAGTCAGCGCACAATACGCTATAGAGAGCTCAATCCCTGACGAATACGAACAATTCTATAAGGAAGCTATAAGGCTGTTAAAAACTATGGAACTGAGGGCAGAAGCGAAAATACATGAGAAGAAATAACCAGAAATAATCAGCTTTACAAATAAATCATCATGGAATTTGAGCCAATGCAAAGAAAGACACAATAACGACATTTTTACACAAGAGAGAAACCTGATCTATTGGCAATACGCGCATTACCGAGGCGGTCGAAGGAGAGCAACTGGAGCGAAAGGACGGCTGATGAGCAGCGAACACACACTGCATACATATATAAGAAAAGATCACAGCTATATGCGGATACCGCCTATGGGACGCGCCATATTTGATCCGCTTAATCCAGCTGATCCGCTTATTCCGCTTCGTCATTGACCGATTTAGTGAATTGAGCAATAGCGAAGCTGTCCGCTTGATCCACTTCATCCACTTCACTATTGATCAATTCACTGATTTGACCAATGATGAAACGGATCAAACGAATCAAGTGGTTTAAGCGGATCAAGTATGGCGCGTGCCTATGTAATAGAACTTTCGAAGAGAATGAAACAACGAAATGGATAGCTCTAAAAAAAGTGCACTTCTGATGCCTGCCCTATACACTTGAGGGTTCGCATTGTAGGACACCGAAAATCCTACCCGAGAAAATGTTGGGGGAGGGGGGGGGGGTCGGACTACGTTATCAAAGACTATTTTCCTACTGATACGTTCATCAGTTTCGCAACAGCTCAACTCGAGGACGTTACTTGTTGAGACGGTTTCCTATAACACAGACTTCATGAAAAGATAAACTCGTGAAGGCTTTTTGGTCGAAGTGGACTTTTCAAGTGAAACCTATATAACTTTGAAGAGCACGACCAGACCGGTTTAGCAAATAATGAAGGCAGGTTTGAAACACGGTTTGATGCTCCACAAACTGTTATAGGTGCCAAATGGAAAGGCCACTTCGACAGGGATTCCCTGTTAGAGAATTCGATAATGAGAAAAAGTTGCTCCAAAGTGGACAAAAAGAAGGAAATCGTACATGAAAACACAGTTAATTTGAGCAGTCCTCACCTGTATTGTGAATAGTCACCATATGAAGCAGGAGAGAGGCTGTTCGCTGATGGTAACTTTGGCGTTGGTAAAGCGCTCCTACAAAACAGCAACCTATTATACAATTTCGTTTGCCCATTAGTGTAGCAATCTTTCTATACTTCGATAGACTCCTCACTCGTATCACCAGATCTTCTTTCATTTTCTGAAGATGATTGTGCAGTATTTCTAAAGCTTTCCAAAGTCATTGTTACACCAAAATCTATAGGTATGGCTAACATTCAAGTTGTAATTTCATATTATAGGCTAGTACATAATATACGCGATTTCTTCGAGTCGCGGTTCTCCCAACAAGACAAATGTAACGAGTCCATTGCATGCCGATGCTCTCGTATTTCGGTTCTGATAATTAGTCACGATTAGTCGCGTCGGAAAACTATCACAAACGAAATGCAGAAGGACCGGCATGCAATGAACACGTACCAGTTGTCCCTTTGGAAAATCAAGAGGCCGTAAAATCGCGTGAACTATACTCGAAGCCTATCAGAAACGGGATTGTCTTATTTTTTCATTTGGCGAAAAGATCAGTTTAGACGATAAGGCTGCTATTTTTCATATCACTTAAACACTCCAATTCAAGTAACTTACTGGAGAGTTCGGTTGTGATGTAAGCGAATGTAGATCTATGCTCGCCACAGTCGGGAATAAGACTGGGACGTCGAGAGGGGAACTTCTTCATCTGTTTAAGAAATTTCTGAAAGAAGACGATCATAAAGGGCTCAAAATTAGCTAGGCTTTCGCAATGACTCTTACCAAGTCAAAATCACATTAGATCCGAGAAACTCCACCAGGATTGAACTGCCTCTCGGCGATAGAAGATGAAAAGTAGACATAACGTAAATCTGGGGAAAGCGATGTCCCCCTTCCTTGCAAGGATATATGGTGCGTATTGAAAAAAAAGATATGTAGAGACATGTAACGATATTGAACCAATAACTCACCTATGCAAGGAGCAGCGAAGATGGTCCTCAGTGATGCAATTAGTGGCAGAGGTACTGCGCTCAAGCTTTGTTTCACTTCGTCGTCGAGTACCCTTTCTTGGCAGAATTTCTCTTTTCTTTACGAAAACTTTCATGGTCCAAGAATGGATTTGTTGAAGAATGTCGAGAAAAAGAAAAGGAACAAGAATGTTCAAACATGTAGCTCGACTTACATTAGACAGGTGAGCTTGTGCGAAAGTGGTTTATGTGACTAGTGTGAGAATGCACACATCGCCGCGGTGGTATGCCCCTTTATTCGAGCGATCAGCGATCCGTCGCGCGTTTTCGTTGCTAGTTTCCACCCGGCGATCTATCGCCGCGACGATCATCCATCGCGGCGATAGATCGCTGACCGGTATGACCGCCCCTTAAGGGAGGCATGCGGATCCGAAACGGCCTTTCCAATGAAATGTATATAGGGTTGTAGATCCTGGCACGCAGCTTACAAAACAGCTATCCCTATCTGCCAAGCGATACTCTAGATGAGATATAACCTTTCGAATTTCGTAAATCCTGCGCTCAACCCAAGTACGCTGCTGCATGACGAATGGCCCGTAGTAAAGCTCGGTTATGGGAGATTATCTCCCCTGAGACCTTCATGTGAGGTTCTGTCAGTAAAATGACGACCGCCCATTTCCCCATGCTATAGAGATGCAACGTCACCTGAGAGGTGAGCCTCAGGTGAAGTTTGAAAATCGCTGAGATGATCTCCCTGCCGGGTCATGGGAGATGATATGAGCGATGATGTCCAGAAAAAGTATGCTAAAGAGGAAACGCTGAGAAAATCTTCGTAAGTTGCTCCTGAGTAACTTACGATACACAGCAATTTGCCTAACACTGCAAACAAAATCGGCGCAAAATTGCACAACCGCGCCCGAAAAGGAGAGGATCGATGAACAGCTGATTTTGGCGAGGAAGACAGAAAAAAACAAATTCTTCTCTTTTTTGTAAACTTTACTGGTTTTTTTTGAAGCTGTCCAAAACGAGGACTCATTTGTTCATTTCATTGAATTCACGTTGCAACCATTTCGTTTTGTCGCAGAATTTTTGTAATGAAATGTTTTTTGTTTTATCTTTGTGTTTGCTAGGCGAAATCCTTGATAGCGGTCATCATCGATCGGATAGTGGCCGCTATCAAAGATTGCCCGGCGATGCAGCAAAAGTTGTGTCGCTAAGCGGAGTCGAACCACGGCCGCGCGCGTGTAATTTCAATGGCTTACCCATTTAATCAAATCGAATCAAGTAGCTGTTTTTTCGAGAACGCACTTGATTATAATGTCCAGGAAGCGATCTGCATCCAGATCAATAGCTCGCCGGATGCTGGACTGAGGCGTCAAGATATCAACTCCGGCTTTTGACGACATTGTTTTTACATTTCTCTTTTTTGTTTTCAATGACAAGCTGAACGTCCTAGCATTATTATAAAATTAAGGTCTATTGCAAAATTACTTACTACAGCACCCTAAAGCTTTTCTCACCCTCGTGCAGTATGCTTTTCATCCAACTCGGTAAAGACTTGCCAAATAAACAACTGTGAGTAGGGCATTATAATCGTCGCCTATTGTGATCACAACATCTGTTTCCAACTATATTTTCATAGTCATGGTGTACATCACCTAAATTCGCCAGAAGTACTGGTGAGTTGTAGCGGTATTCTTGCAAATTTTGTTTCCGATAATGCTAAGACGTTCACCTCATCATTAGAGACAAAAATAGATAAATGCAAAAATGAAGCGGAGAAAGCGATCCGAAGCTAAAGTCCGCGCTTACGTGTGTTAAGGAGGCGATTTCACGAAATTCGAACGCTTCATCTTGGCCCAGAGGACCGGGCAGATATGAAGCGCTGTTTTGTAAGTTACGTGCCGGGATTTAGAAGCCTATATACATTCCGTTGGAAAAGATCACTTCAAAAGATCACTTCGAGTCTTTATGCTTCCTTATTATTTGGAACCGTTTCACCTGGTACCAGCTGAGCTGGAGCCTATCCTTGGCTCACATAACCTTCATGATTTTATTCTATCGTTGCGCATATCAAAAGTTTTCATACTAGATAAAACTCGCTGAAGCTTTCTATCGGATAATCTAGCAAAAAGGTCCTGCTGTGAAGCCCGTGGCTCTGTCCTTCTTTTGAGACCAGCCTCCTCTGCTTTTCTGCTTATGGGTGCCAAAGCATAACTTTCGCGAAGGTAGGCGCGGTTAAGGATTTCAAGGATTTTTTTTATAACTTAGCCTTGAAAACAAGGAATTGTTCGGAAAAATGTCCTGCGGCAGTAGCGACCCTAGGGGTCGCTATCAAGTGGGTTGGGGCAGATACATTGATAACTATCTGCGTGCAACTTAAAATGGCAAGGAAATGGACTTCCATTTTCTCAACGATTTTTGGCGAAACGTAAGTATGTAGTCGTAGGAGTAAAATCATGCTCTCAAGCAAACTTTTTACAATGGTAACTCTCAAATCATCTACGCTGTTCTTCATGCAAAGCTCCTTTACTTTTCCGCTATTGAGAGCACAAGAATTTTTGCTTGAAGTGGATTTCAAGGAGGTTTTTTATAACTTAACCTTGAAAACAACGAAGTCTTAACAAAAATGTCCCGCGGCGGTACGACCCTACGGGTCGCTAGCAAGTGGGTTGGGGCAGATACGTTGATAACTGTCTGCATGCAACTAAAAATAGCAAGAGAATAAAAACCTTTTTTTCTCAACGATCTTTTTCGCAATGCAAGTAGTAGTAGAAGCAAGATCAGGCTCATTTCAAGATTTCATTTCAAGATCAATTCCATTTTCTAAACGATCTTGGGGCAACGTAAGTACGTAGTAGTAGAAGTACGATTATGCTCTCATGGAAGCTTTTCATGGCGAGTAACTCCCAAATCATCTACGCTGTTCTTCTTGCAAGTACCCGACCCAGATATTACAGCTACTAAACATGAAGATCACCTCAGCAGTCATCTATGTAGAACAGGTTTCAACCCGAAACTCAAGTTGACATTCAGGTACTGTGCAACGGCCGCTAACACATTAAGCTTCGCGACCATGCACAGTCCTATACTCTCCTTATTACGTCTCGCCAAAAAACGGTCATTTCTTAAGCGAGACCAAAGCTTGCTCAAAGCTTTTTCTTGGGCATTCCTAGCAAAAATGTCTTGTCGCATGAAATCTCTGGGTACTCAAAAGTGTATTTCAAGCGAGCTTTTGCATGATTTAGCATTGAAACTGAGAAGTCCTTAGCCTAAATGTGCTGCCGCATAAAGTCCTTTGAAGCTTTCCTTTCTTCGAGACTTATGCTTTTTAAAGCAGAATTACGGTTTTCGCAAGATAGAAGCGACCAAATTGAATTTCAAGCCTTTTCTGTGAGATTCAGCAATGAAACCTAGGGAATTATATCATAAATGTACTGCCGCATGAACACTAGGTCTTTTCTTCCATTAAGACAAGCTCCCTCTGCTGTGTTTTTATTGGCAAAAGTAGGGATTTCACAAAGTAGAGGCCGCCAAAAACAAATGCAGCAGTTCTGTGAATTTTCACATTAAAGTCTAGTTGGAAGAAATGTGTTGTTGAGTGGATTTGTTGGGTCTTTCCTTTCAGCAGACCGAGCTCCCTCTGCTCATTTGTTTTTAGAGGCAAAAGCAATATTTTCACATTGTAAAAGCATCCAAAAGTGGGTATTTAACAGGTTTTTGTGAGATTCAGCATTCAATCCTAGAAATTTAGCAAAATGTTCCTAGAAATTTAGAAAAATGTACTACCGCATGAATTGACTGATTCTTTTCTTCCAACGAGACGTAGCTCCCCCTGTTTTTCTATTTCCAGAGGCAAAAACAATATTTTCAAAAACAAGCATTCACAAGGTGTACAAGCATTCAATAGGTGAGGTTTAAGCGAATCCCCGTAACATTGACAGGTTATATTACCTTATTTTCCTAACCTTCATATTGTTCAAAATCATAATGTGCTTTTCGATGACTAATGATTGTAAGAAGTTAGGTAGGGTAGGAAGCAAAATGGGCGACAGTTTTCCGAATTACGATAGCAACTGGGGGTTAGACATTTGCACTAATTCGGTAGTTCGTAATCAATATTTCGTTGTTGTTTGAGCTCTGCACATGACACGCACTTGACCCCTTCTTGCTTGTTTATGAATGAGGAGGTGATCTTTGACGACTGTTGCCTATAGTTGCGCTTTCCATGCAGAGCAAGCATAATTTGCACTTAAAGTGCATACATTCTGGAAACTAACTACGAACGCCGTCAACTCTACGTCGCTGTTATGCAAACTATGTGGATCCTCCTTGAGTGCATGCGCTCCCCACTACTCTCTCGGCGTTTCTCTGCACATCCGTGTTAGTTCATGTATCGTAGTTATATTTCGTCGCCGCATAATCTGGACTGCACTCGTTGTCGCGAATCTGCTGTTAACACTCTAAGAGAATACATAGCACAACGGTAAAGCATATGGGGGAGGAGAGTACCCCCGTCACATCGCTTTGGCAGTTACCAAAAGATGTTATAGTAAGATTAGATAGTAGCGGAGCAGCTGCTGACTATCAACAGTGAATATGCTAAACAGCCGCTGACGATAGTGGTACAATCGAACCAACTCCAAAACTGAGCATTCAGGTCCTTTTATGCCACCATTTTGGGCGTAGATAATCTGAATGCTCACTTCTGGTAAACGATAGTATCATACAGCATGAAGGATTGCCAAGAGTAGGGCGCCGCCAAGTAGACTTTCAAGCACAGTTGAGGGATGACCTCGCGGCCTAAGTGGTCAGTGAACAGTATTGTTTGCCAATGACAAGCTAGTGTACACTGAATATAGCAATATTCTACAATGCTAAAGATCGTAGATTCGCAATAATCTACGACATTGCAACTATTCTTCTGGCCAATTCACAGCACTATAGCTATCACAAAATCAACAAATTTTTCGTTCCCTCCATTTTTTAAAAGGAAAAAATACAGCAACTGCACATAAAAATGTCTGATTTGGACTGCATCATAAGCAAGTAAGGTTTTGCAGAAATTTCGTGGACGGAGTTGCGATTTTCTCCATTATTTTCCATCGGACGCAAGTTTACAAGTTTCTCGCTTCAAACTTCGCATGGGGCAAAGCTGGTGCAAAGTTTTGAAATATTGTATAGCTTTGCCCTATCGAATGATTTATTGCAGCTTATCTAGATTAGAGAATAAATATGAATTATTACGTTATCCATGAGTCCGTGCAAAGTTATGCGTCAGCTTAATACATTAAAAAATATCGGAATACTTATTGCTATATCTTTCATTTCAAAGCGGTGATACCACCGAGTCATCTTCGATCGGTTTAACGGCCAATATCATTTTTACTAGTGTTTTCTGTGGATCAACGTTTTATTGCGCTTCTCAAAGCTTCTAGGTGCCTTAAAAAACTTTGCATTAGTTTCAAAAATCATGTCAGTGGCTTTACATAGACTTTTTTGATGTTTGCTAAGGTCTGGCAATATGAGTACTATTATGAAATTATTGTGCACTGGGAATCTGCTAAGGGTCATGATTAGAAGTAAGGAGCACCGTATAGAAGTTATGACAGTTTATTAGCATAGAAAAGATGTAATTTATCCGAAAATTCGTTTGTAAAAAGCTGTGTAATCCTCAGTGCCGAAATTCGTTTCAGCTCTGACCTTCATGATCAATCGGTTGTAGTCAGACATTTCAAAATGTCGTTCGAACTGAAATTCAAGATCAAAGTAGAGCAGTTTCAGGGTAATGACCACGAACCTCTCTGACTTCTATACCGTTGCTTTGACGGCCCACGTCAAAACTTCTGCGCAAAAATTGCTTCAAATGGAAGAACATTGTGGGTCCTTTGACTTGCCCTTGTTCCATCATCGACCAACCTGGAGCAATGCAAAGACTTTGAATGCAGAGTTTGCTTGTATCACAAAATTCCACAAGATTTGACCTTACCCTCACTAGACGTGGTTAGATATGCAACATGGATTCTTGGATCCCTCCTGGTCGCGTTCTTCACTGGCATGTATCCATAGTCGTGACGTTTAACTTCGAAATTTTGATAGTAGGTGTGCCTAGATTATGAAAAGAGTCAGGAGAACTCTAGAAGAATAAGTTCACTTCTACCCATCCATAGTTTCGGAAAATTTGTACTTTATTGTTGGAAAAAGATTACCATATGACTACCATATTTGAAATATTTTCTTAAGATACAAAATCAATTTTTCCGACCATAAATATGTCAATGACCCTTGTCATAGAGGCTGACTGTGAGTTTATAGTTTCCGCTTCTGCTAAATCAGATAGCCGCAGAAATGGTGATTTAGAGGGATGGTCAAAGACAATAAAAATTAAATATTAAAAAAATACATAAAAAATAAAATATAAAAATTTTATAAAATAAGATATATTAATACAAGACTTGGCACACGTGTTTACAAAACATCTATTGAACGAGAGGCTGGGTTTGATTCAAAGGAGAAAAAAACTAAACATTGTGTAAGTAATTGGCATAACAGAGAGTATCGCTGCGGGCGAAACTGAAATACAAAGAAGTCCTCAAACTAATCGAGTATTATGCATACTCTACTTGTCATGTGGTTTGGATGCAAAACTTGTGGTAAATTTGCGATGATAAACTGAAGAACTTCTCAGCAAAAATTTAAAGTTTAATTACCCTTGGTAAAACCGGTACTTTCCAAAACTCTTCAATTCTCAAAATGATACTCACGTAATATTCACAGCTCTAGCGCCAAATTTCGGTAGAGGATTGATGGCAAAATCGATTTGGTCTGGAGGCGGTAGATCTCTTCAAAAGATATTTTCGCTAATTTTTTTTGAAACGAAGGGGAACTTACACCCATCTGCCTTGCTTGTATTCCAGTCCCCACAAACCAATGAAGTTTTGAACTGGTCGTAAGTCCCATGGCATTTTCGAGCGATCGTACCCTAAAAGCAATAATGAGCAGAACGACTCATTTTCGGAAGAATATAGAAGAGTGATCGGTAGCAAATTTTTTGTAGATTGTCTAGAGCAAATGGCTGAGGATGGTGTTTCCTGCATACCTGTACCATCTGGTACTTCACAGCACTATCCTGGTATTTTCTGGTCTTGTAAATATGCCAATACATCACTATTGCTCTCCTAAATAGCATCATACTTCGCTACTGTATCTGCTTGTTGATTTTTTGTAAACTTCGGGTTTAAGAACCGTAATTTTCAGTCTGGACCCTATAATTTTTCGTATAGGTTCAAAAGAGGAAACGCCGTGTCATTGTACACAAACTGTACAATGACACGGCATTTCCATTAATTTCACAGTACCTTCATAAACATCAAAAAGCCTGACTACGAACTAAAAATTGGCGACATTATTATACAATACTGCTAATTATTGAAAAGTCACCGATTTCTACTGAAGTTCAACAAATTCGTTTCGCCTCGCCATATCTTGGTTTAGTGTGAACGAATTTTGGATCCGAGCGGACAGTTCGACCCAGCTGGGCGAGGCGCATTTTCTGATAAGAAAAGTTACGTATGAGTACGTAAGCAGTCAGATTTCAGGGTTAATGCCCACGGTAGGTTAATCAGTGTGCAACGAATAACGTGAAGAAACCTACCATAAACAATATCAAAAATTCTTGAGATATGACATTCTTACGTAAGTATACTGTAATCAAAGTCATCTAATCATTGAGAAGATGCGCATTGTCTAGCTGTATCGAATGCTGGGATTTAGATTCATCTACTTTGAGCAATACGGCTATGCAACATGGATTTCAGGGGAATTTGGTAAAGTTTGGGACTTTTCTGGTTAGTTCTGAGCGGTATTTTATTTGCAGCTTGTGAGAGAGTAAAAATAAGGAAACAACATTGATTCTGCGCTTCAAACTTTGTCCTGTTCCATCCAGGGCTCGGCACGAGGTGGCTAGTTGAAAATGCAAAAGACGAAGTCCCCCTTGACTTTTGCGAATTTTTACGCAGTCCCCTTTGACCCTAGACCAGGGCTCGACACGAGGTGGCGTCCCGAAATTGCAAAAAATGAAGTCCCCTTTGACTTCAATAAAATTACGATATTCGCCACGAGATATTCGAAGAGAAAATACATGAAAAGGAACGGAACAAAGCAACAGCAGAAAAAAACGAAAAAGAATCATCGAACACACGCGATGATATTCATATTCTCCGGAATGGCGGCATGATGTATCCATCGTGCAGCAATACGCGCCTAGAGCAGCCTTTCCACGGCCATTCAAAATTTTCAAGGGGCTATAACTAAGCGGGGAGAAGGGGGTTTGAGGCGGAGGAACCAGTTTGTAGGGTTTGGGATGTAGATGAAAAGTATGTAAAGAAAGTAGAAAAATTATGTGAGGGAGGAAAAATTTATGACTTTTCTTTCCTAAGCCACCTCGGGTGGCTATCCAGGTGGCTTGAAAGCCACCTAACTCCGAAAAAGTTGAGCACGCCTTTAGTTCACATGATTTTTCATAATTTTTCATACTTAGTTCTAACTCCCCATTGTCCATCTACACACCTATTTTGGTGTCATTTCATCCTCACTTCGCTGTAAACAAACCTTTTGTTTATTTGCTAGCGGCATGCCGGCACCCAAAAACGATATCCAGCTTGCTTGCTAAGCCACCTGTGCCGTGCCCTGGTTCCATCGCTTCAAAAGTTCTCACAATAAAACGAATTTTTTGCCTTATTTAGCTAGAAAGCAGTGAAGACAACATTACATTAATCGTGCTTTCATCAGCTGCTTTTATTTAGGTGAAATGGAAAAAAGCTAAAGATGCCAGTTACTTCGGGTTGCCCATAGAAAAACTTAATTATGAACTTACTGTCTTCATATCTGGCACCTATCAAAACGAACAGGGCTGCGAATAAAACACTGGATAGTCGGGACATCTAAAAATTCATGAATCATCTCACATTCAAAGATTTAAAAGTGAGTGATTTCTGAAGGTACACATGTACAACACAGATGTAGAAGTTCAGGAAATCAATCTCTAAAAATCAGGAATGCGGTTAGACACAACGAAAGATAGTATGCGATGAGACTGGATATATGAATTGGATTCGGTTTCGCGATACGAAACGAACGGATTGAGAGACGAGACGTGAGACCGAAGGCGATGAACGTTTGAAACGAGTCGCGCAACATTTAGCTAGCTGCCTGCTACGTGAACGGGAATTGCTAATTGCAGACTCTTAATCTCGTGTTCTATCTACTAATTAAATTCCAAAGTAGTTGAGAGATGATAGCGTCAGCCAATCTTTCACGCATGGTTAAATGATTAAGAAGTAGGTCAATGCCAACTTACTGAATGGAGTTCATGACTATTGTATACACAAGACCAGCATTATGTATAGAAAATCCATGTGTCAGGTGAAAAGAAAAAAATTGTTTTTTATAGCGAAGTAATAAGACGAGTCCAAAAGAACACGTGAGGAGTATCATTTGATGGAGTACGCGAGGTTTAGATCGAAAACATATGAGCAACTCATGATGCCAAAAATGGAACTTTCGCCCCAAAAAATTGTACAAATACTTGCTTCTATGTACCAGACATATGCACCTATCCATAATTACATTTGCTATATTTTTTCGTGCTTAAAAATCAAGAAAAATCGAAAAACAAAAATTCGCAAACTCCGTCCCTAGTATGTAGTCCTGGGCTTCTCCCTTATAGGTCTTTGTATCTACAAACCTTCGAAACTGACCATAGATTTATGGCCTGGGATATATCCTAGTTATTGAGAATACCATTTTAGCTAATAAAAAACGCAGAAAAAAGCGACAATCTTTTTTTTCCAAACTATTACAGCAGGATATTTAATCGAAGAAAATTTAATCACAAAGTGTAGGGCCTATAGGACTGATTCTATGATTTCTTATAATAATCCCTAATAATAACTAACTTGGACATTATTATAGCTTTGAGACTTTTTGACGGGACTGACGGATTCACCAACCCAAATAATCTTCTTTTCATTTTTTATCTCTGCAATAAAAGCTAAAAAAAACTTGTATAGTGCTTCAAATCAAAAAATCATTCACTGTTTTCTTGACAAAAGTAATTCTTTGCAAGACCATCTTGACAGAAAAAGCGGTACTTTTCCGTTATCCGGACCCATTTTTGCAAAGAAGACTGCTTCTTTCCCTGCAACATATTTGTTCCCAACTTTGTAGGAAAGAGTGTCAACCTTCTGCCACGTGTCAAAAAAATTTGACATGCCACCTACATGTTTAACAAGTTTTACCAAGAGTTCGCGTTGCCCTACCTAGCGACATATGTTCAACCTTTTTTGGTCAATAATGACCCTATTTTCGATTAAACAATTCAAAAATGACATTGTTATAATAATAACGTCGCACTCTCATCAATGAACATACTAGACGTGCCCAGTAGAGGAGTGCGCTAGGGTTCCATCACCTAAGCGGCGAAAAGCAGCAGCGAGATACTACTTCAAGCGATCATTTGTAGACTTTTCTGGCTAAACTCGCATGACGGAAAGTTTGAAGAGAAAAACATTCTTGAATCATTGCTAGAAGCAATCAAGATATTCTAGTAATGGTTCTAGATTGTTTTGCTACTTCTAAGTGGTTACAAATGCTCTTTTACCTCACCGGAAATGATTTCGCAAAAACGTGTCAAAGTGGACTAGAACGTGTCAATTTTTTCCTGACACGTGGCAGGGAGGCAGTCCTCGTAGAATCTATGAAAATTTGTACTTGAACTACCGAACGCATTTTATAAGAGCTTTTTGAAAAAATGGGTCCGGATAACGGAAAAGTACCGAAAAAGCTACAAATTTTCGGGTATGGTGTAGCGAAACTTTCGGTCCAACCTGATAAATATAAAATAACATTTTATTGATGTGCTGCTGACAAACTATGATACAGTATGCTCGTAGTACAATTTCTTGGGTTACTGTAGTCTTTGACTGCTGTACAGAATGGTTTGCAAATATTATGTGCCATTCGAATTGTGGCAGCTTCATGACAGGCAGTGCCTTAACGTTATCCGCTGACGACAGCTAGACGTTTGAACAATTTCGATACTCCGAAACAGTCTAGATGCTCGAGAAAGCCTGTCGCTTCCTCCGCTTGACCGCAAAATGGCAAGCGTAATCATATGGAGAATTCCCGACTAAAAATATTGGGTTGATGCAAAAATAATGTTCGTAGCATACGCTACCAAAGCATTTGAATATAGAGGTGTACGAATAAGGTACCACTCGATAGAACGAAGCAAGCTCTACAATGCGACTACCAAGAATCTACCTAAACATTTAGTCTGCGTGACGGTTGATGCCAAGATCTGTGAGCATTTGGCCTGCTCAAAAATCTCTTCGCCCGAAGAAATCCTACAAGTCTCCCAATTGGTTGTCACATAATAGACACATAGTAATGTTCATTTATTTGATTGCTGTATTTAACTCTTAGGATTTGAGAAAAAAAAAATCGAAAATCGGCAAACTCCGCCTCTAACTCGCCCCTTTCCTCAAAATCAGGTATTTGTATCATAAAACCTCGGAAGCATGACTGTGAAATTTCAGCCTGGCTTTGCATCACCCTAATATTTCGTGGTTGAGATCTTCAGGATTACCAAAATAGTATGGAATTTTTCTTAAGTTTGCAGTTCCACAATCGCTAAAATTTATCTTGCTCTGGCATTTAACCAATGCTTCCAGTACAAGCCGTCAATTTTACTTACAGTTAATCGCAAAATGTTCTTATACTCTTTTTGATCAATCATCCCATCCAAAAAATATTCATAATTTCTTCTTTTCCACGATAAAATGTTGTATAAATGAGTTAACAGCTTTTAGTCAAAAGAGGTAGAAATTACGCATTTGAGAGACGATCAGAGTAAATCGGCATGTATTTTGCGCGCAGGAAATGATCAGGGTTATGCCAGTGTATGCCACCAACTATGATCTATGAGTGGTACCGTCTTCAGAAGTGGTCCTTGTATCAAATTCAAAAAAAATCTAGCTTGACACGCGCTTACAAAAATGTAATCATGCTAAAGAAATAACAGTCAGATTGATAGGTTCATTTGGAAATACTCAACTTACGTAGCAGCTCATTGTAGGAATAGTCAAAAGCGTAAAGCAGGGCGGTGTTTCGGCGCACTCCGCTTCATGCGAACGAAGAAGTGGAACTTATAATGCAATTTGTTTACAGAACTGAGCCGTTAGAAAGTTCTAAATGCATCTTCTACTGGGTTGTCAAAAAAATGTTTGGAATTTTCATGTTAAGTAAATGAAACTATATGATATAAAGCTAGCCCTGTTCTTCTCCCTTTATGCCTAGACCATAGGCCAAAGGTAATTCGTTTGCATCAAATCATTAACTACTCTTTATTGTATTTGCGACAGAGAAACTGAAATTATTCGCAAAGCATACATTCAGTGTGAATAGCACCCAAAAATATCTGGGACATCTGCGAGATGTTATGAAATTAGAGAACTCGAGTAAGTTGGACCAATCACATCAAAACGCAACTCATAGAAATGTGGTATGGAGGCAGGATTCTAAAGCGATGTGGGAAGGTCATTGACACAAATGTGATCTAAATATTATGATAGCGATTAGAACTAAAAGTCATTGATTAGGAAAAACGAAAAGTCATAATTAGAAAATCGAGATATACCTAAATATTCGGCCCGACAGGGTAGAAGGCCCCTGGGCCATGAAGGCATATTGGAGAGGCAAATGCACTTTGCTTGCATCTTTGTAGGATATATGTTCACCTTTTTGAGAATCCTTGAACTTTTGGGAAGTTTTCTCTTTTTTTGCTATTCGCTGTGGACTTCTTATGATGCCTTGATTTCACGCATACACGACCAGGCCAAACACGTCGTAGGACTTCCCAACCAGAGGACATATACCTTGTTGTACAATGCTTAGCAGAATCGTGCGGCATATAAATTGTTTTTGAAATACAGTAAAGCTGCTGAGTGGCTCACTCAAAAAATCGAAAAGGTGCGCCTTGTACGTGGAAATTAGTTTAATACATTAACACATTAAACATCAGTACATACAATAAATTAGTTTAATACATTAATACATTAATACATACATTCAGCTTTTGCTTGATCTAATTACAGCTGTATCTAAGACCGGTCTTTTAGGTTGGTGGATACCTAACGTGAACCAGGCTGGCCTTGGACGCCCTCGAAGTTGAACTTATTTTTAAGGCGGTGGCATTCCCCAATGCTAAGCATCTGTATTAATGCAGAAAGCATGAAATCTTCTTCTTAATTCAAGCGGATCTCTGCGGTTTCTATACTTAATCTGTGTAGTTGGAATGTGGAAGCGTGATAGGGACATTTTCTTTCATTACTGAGTATATGTTGTCGAGTTGTGGCGCATCATGAGTGCCTAAATAAAGATAAAGATAAACATAATACCTTGCGCTAGCGATTTTTGGAGGAGGGAGGGGGGGAGAGGGAGGAAGGTTTGGGGGGCAACACATTTTTTGTATTGTGGTGAGTGTGGCGTTAGCGGCGCACTCTCAAAACAAAAAAAACTATTGGACCTTTCAGAACACTTGCAGGCCTGCCTAAAATATGGAGTGAAAAAAGCGTGACTTGTGTGGCTGCGCCTTCATAAAATCTTCTTTACAAAGCTAATTTGATTATTCGGAACCTCTTAATTAACATTTTGATCATTCTGTAGTAAAAAATAACTCGATTGCACACTCACTTTGCTTTGTAACTCATGTAGCTCCTCTTTTCAGAAATTTCGCGACCTACGGGTAGAGGTGAAGGGAGTTCCCAAAGAACCTAGAGCAGTTTGTCTGATAAACCAACTTCAACGTAAAAGCCATCTCTCCTGCTCCCAAAAAATGCTGCGAGAGATCATAATTTTGATGCATTACTGCTGCAGGCTTTTTTGGGGATTATTACATCCGGTTTTCAAACAGTACTAATGACTGCAAAGTAAATGAACTTTGCTGCACATTATTCAACTATGGACTCTTCAGAAGGTATATTTATGTCGAATTTAAGCGTAGCTATCATAAGCAGGATACTTTTTACCACATCATTTCCATGTATCGCATTCAGAGGCAAAAACTATCTTGTTACCACTCTTGGGCCAATTTCATAAACTTGCAGAAGCCAGAGATTACGAAAAGGTATCGATGATTGAGACAACTTTTCCCTATTTGCTTTGCTGCTCCTTATAAAATTTGCATAATGACATGCCAATGACTTCCATTCTTTTCAACGAATGTTAACTTATTCATCTTTATTATAAAAGTTGTCAGCTAGCCGCCTTTTACGATCCAAACGCTGTCATTGTCAATGCTGGAAAGGATGTGATCTACGGAAAAGAAGGTAAAAAGTCTGCCAAGTTAAAGTTACCACTGCTATTAGGTCGTTCCGAAAGTAATGTCGCTTTATTCGAATGAACGCCACTATTCGCGGAATCAACATTTCTAAGAGATCTTAGAAGCATTCGATGCAGCATTTCATCCTCTTTCTAAAGTCTCTAATTTCACTGCATAATTTTCAATGAGCTCTCGAAAAATTACCAAAATCTGCGACTCATGTTTTTTGCCATGGTTCAAGTTCGTCTATTAATTTTAAATTTTTGTACCTAATCTCCGAAAAAGTACAAGTGGCAGGTAGATAGAGCAAACACTAGAATACAGAGTAATTTTTCTTCCCCCTAGCGTGCTTCTCAGAGTTTCTGCAATCAATTTCTCCATGCCATCAAATTCCATATTTAGTCAAGTCAAACCTCACAGAACAACAACCGGCAAGCGACTCGGGTGCGATGCAGCTTTTTCTCCTCTTTCTAGCGGTCGTTTTTTGTTTCCGATTCATCAAGTTTTCCGGGATAAAATCATTATAATTCAACTTTTCCAAGTCACCCCAAGGTGTACCCGAAATTTTCGAAAGTTGCTAGCGAAGCGGTGAATGCTCGTTTGGTTTGTAAAATTGTTGCCAAACCATAATCCATCTTTGTAAGTTTCAAAATCCGGAGACTTTTTGGCGTTTGATGCACTTGTTTCTGAGACGAGCCTGCTAAAATTCGGTGGTTCCATCAAAAATCTCTACAAAAATTATGACGAGCTCTGCCAAGTAGAAAAAAGTTGCTGTGCTGTTTCTTTTAGGGTCTGCTCCATCCATCCATTACTTGAACTCTTTTTGAGATTTGTTATAGAATTTTAGAAAAATTGTGAAACTTGGCCATCTCAAAAAGCAGAGGTCGCAGGTTTTGACTCTTTTCTGGAAGCTCATTGACTATATTGCAACAACTTCATAACCATTAGAAAGAGAATGAAATGCTGCATCAAATGCCACCAGAATCTCTTACATATTTTTGTTCCACGAGATGTGGCATACGTTTGAAAAAAGTGACACTACTTTCGGAACGACCTAATATAATAAATCCATGTTGAACAAAACGTGCTTTTCTTCTTCATCTATAACTGTTAGACTGAATATTTGCCATGGTGATTGACTTATCACCTCTTTTTTATTTTTAAACCTATGCAAGCATTATTTCAGCTCTAAAGAAGGATTTTGAAAATTTTCTAACACGTGCGGGTAAACTGACGCCAAAGGTAAACTTTGGAATGCAGAATAGCTCAAGTATTTCAAAAATTATATATATATATTCAGAGCTCCAATCATCACTATAGAATGTGTGAAGAATTCATTATTTTGACAGCCGACTATGAGACAAAAACAGAAAAAATGGGAGTGCTAAAAGGAAGGTTCACCCAAATTTGGCGCAAATGTAATGGTAAATATCTAATGATACATCTGGAGGATGCACCAACGACGCAATGATTCCATTTTGTTTTCTTGATAAATGTTTTTGATGAATTCTATTATACCAAGCAAATCAAACGGTGGTTCTCTTATGCGTTCTGGTGATTTCTTTTATTATATTTGAAATTAGCTGGCATGCCCGGCTTCGCCCGCACCGTGTATTCGACTAGTCCAATAAACAGCAAGATTGGTGCGCTATTCTGAAGGCTTCAATTCATCTGCTTTTGGCCTTCTGCTGTTCTTGTAGCACGGGCAGCTACTCTCCGACCGCATCTCCCTCATCGTGGAATAAAAATGAATTCTACCGCTATGGTTTACATGGAAATTGGAAGCGTTTCGATGATAATTGACAGGAGTTTATTTTTCTTCAAGATCGATAAACCAATAGAAGGAGTGGGAATTTCGTTGCGAAAAGTAGCCCACGGGGTGGACCGGTGTAGACAACATATGCGTGCAAAGTTTGGCAGTGATCGGTTGACACACTGAAGTTTCTATAAAGAAAACACTAACTAACAATTTACCAACGCTGAATTTTATGTATGTACAGATATACACTGTAGTCAATAAAATTACCCAATTCAGCGATCTTTACTGCTGTTTTGTAAGCTGCACTCTACCTCATTATAAAGATATCCTAAAATTTGGTGATTACATGGAACTGTCGACTCAAGCTGTTTTCTGCGACTGTATTTGGATTCAAGTAACTCTCCAGCCAAGATCATAAGCTGCTGCATGAAGAATGCGCAATATCTTTTGGCGCGAACTCGGCTTTATTAGCAGCAGAGCGCATAAGGCGCACGATTTACAACGGTGAAGATACGCTCGCGCCGCGTTTGTGCCCGCACTAATTGTGCATACTCGCCTTCGCCATGCAAGTAGCCTTTACTTCACCGAGAGATTTCGAGCCGCTTCGCACTCACTGTTAAAACAAGCTTAACCTTGTTTTTAACAAGTTTTATACCTGTAAATGATCTAGTTTAGGATCATTTGCTGTCTGAAAACAGGAGGAAATAAGTTTGAGCATGTTAAGACAATGTGTGCAAGGCAGCTTCTTATAAGGAACTAGCTGGCTTACCCGGCTCCGCCGTATCCGGACCAAACTTGGCACACATACACTTCGGGCCCCGGCGGGTGTCACAGTCCACTTTTCGTTATCGATCGATGTCGATTTTACCGATTTTTATCGATTTCTTGCAGAGTTCACCTACAGGGCTAGGAGTTGGCACAGGGGGGTAATCGAGCATGGGGATTCCGAATACAACATTAGTTTTCAGGATCGTCCATTACTTTTATCGATTTTATCGATTTTTTTTGTAAAGTTTGACCTGCGGGGCTGGGAGTTTGCACAGGGGGGTAATCGAGCATGCTGTTTACGAACACAATATTAGTTTTCAGGATCGTCCATTACTTTTATCGATTTTATCGATTTTTTTTGTAAAGTTTGACCTGCGGGGCTGGGAGTTTGCACAGGGGGGTAATCGAGCATGCAGATTACGAACGCAATATTAGTTTTCAGGATCGTCCATTACTTTTTCGATTTTATCGATTTTTTGAAAATTTGAGCTAGGGGGCTGGAATTTGGCACAGGAGTGTAATCGAGCATGCTGATCACCCCACTGGGGGTGATCAGCATGCTCGATTACCCCCCTGTGCGAACTCCCAGCCCCGTAGCTCAAACTTTGCAAAAAAATCGATAAAATCGATAAAAGTAATCGATAATCCTGAAAACCAATATTGTATTCGGAATCCTCATGCTCGATTACCCCCCTGTGCCAACTCCCAGCCCCGTAGCTCAAACTTTGCAAAAAAATCGATAAAATCGATAAAAGTAATCGATAATCCTGAAAACCAATATTGTATTCGGAATCCTCATGCTCGATTACCCCCCTGTGCCAACTCCCAGCCCCGTAGCTCAAACTTTGCAAAAAAATCGATAAAATCGATAAAAGTAATCGATAATCCTGAAAACCAATATTGTATTCGGAATCCCCATGCTCGATTACCCCCCTATGCCAACTCCCAGCCCCGTAGGTGAACTCAGCAAAAAAATCGATAAAAATCGATAAAATCGATATCGATCGATGACGAAAAGTAGCCTATGACACCCGCCGGGGCCCGTAGTGTATGTGTGCCAAGTTTGGTCCGGATCGGTTAAGAAATGGAATTTTCTATTCGGAACATACGTACACACATACAGACAGACAGACAGACATACAAACAGACATTCAGCTTTATATATAAGATGCATGTTTAGTCGAAGTGGCGTTTTTAGATGGAATGTATACCATATTGTAGGACATAAAATGCCAATTCCAAATCTGCCTTCCTTATCTGCAGAACATTTATGGACGGGAGTTATGAGCGCTCAATGGAACGAAAAATTGTATGTAGTAGTAGAACAAAAATAAACTATTCCTAAATTCACGCGTACAAGGCGCACCTTTTTCGATTTTTCGACTAAGCCTCTCAGCCGCTTTAAATTATTTCGGAAAGCGATCTTCATGCCGTACGATTCTCTTAAGCAATATACAGCAAGGCATAAAGTTCTTTGGTTGCGAAGTTCTTTGGCGTATTCGGGCTGGTCGATTCTGGAAAAAAATCCCCCGCACCTTGGACGCGTGAAATTAAGGTGATACTTTTTCTAGCTCTTCAATGAAGCAGTGCTAATTTCCGAGTTCTTTATTTAAAAAAATACTCCAAAATAAAAAATAAACCATAGTTGCTAATAAGATTTTAACAACTCATTTTATCCAAAATGCACATTTGAATTTTGGCTAAAAAACGCTCATAACTCCTCGTCCATAAATGTTCTGCAAATAGGGAGACAAATTTGGAATCTGCTTTTTATGCCTTTCAATAGGTATACATCCCATTTGAAAAAGCCTCTTCCACCAAACAACCTTCCCTTGTTAGTCACTGAATGACAAATGCTTGATGCACACAGTCAATTGAGATCAGAAACTGACTAGTTGGTTCAGAGCTTTTGCAATTGCAAGCACTGCATTAAGAATGTCCGAGCGCAATTAGATCAAGTAGAGATCTTCAAACAAGTACTGGACCTACACCTAAGGCTCTGACAGTTTTTTTTCTTTCCAACTTAATGACTTTCTCATTTCACAGTCCAACAGAATAACGTGGAAGTCAATCTGCACCGAATCCACCGAAAAGGCCAAGCGGCATACAAGATTCCCATTCGAGTCGAGTATTGGCTGTTGCAAAATAATGTCCGTTTTTAGGCTTATTTTCCAAACAATTTTTCCCATCAAACTTTGTTTTCGATACAGATTCTGCATAGCATTGGAAAGCTCTCTTCATGTACTTTCTCATTTTCAAGTTTTTAGGCTTCTATCTCATCTGACAGAATTTCACCAGCATTTTGCACAGCGGCACTCAATATTGAGATTTTATTGCGTTCCCCTCCTTGGCCACCAGGCGCAATTGAACGAATTCTTTTGAAAACATGGGCAGTGTATGGGATGAATATTGTTAACCTATTGCACCTTTTGATAATTTTTCGAAGGACTGAGAAATCGACGCCCCAAAATAGTGCTCGCTGCCTGGCATTTCATATGTTGAAAACTTTCTCTGATTGAGGCAATCGCCGAAGCTTCGCTTATATCTGTAAGCTCAAGGCTGGGACATTTCGCCTACAATTACTGCAAACAAATTTAGCTATTCAGTGAATGAAGAATTCCAAATTTCCATAGTTTGGGACTTTCTGACCTCCACAAGTAAGCTAAAAAATAAAGAATTTTGGATTTCAATCTTTTCTTTTCTCAGAATTCCTTTGGACTCTGTTTTATATAAAGGTGTACTACTGACTTGCGCATACAAAATGATAGCAACCATGGGAACAAACCTTGAAGGGAATGGGATCTCTCCAAAACGAGGTTTTCGAAAGAGAAACTTCCGGTTATTTTGACGCATGGAATTCTTCGCGTTCGCGACATCAGTACGTGCAGGTGCGCGCTAAGGCTGCGTTCATACTGATCCGTAAGTTCGAGAATAGTTCCAGCACCGCGCTCAGTCCAAGCACTGTGCTGGAATTGTTGAACTTCCGGAACAGTATGAACGAAGCCTAAACTACAAAGGTTTGCTGTTTCCGATGGTCTTGATTCCATTCAAAAATATGAAGACTGGACAAAGTTATAGCTTTTTAAAAAAGAACTTTGCAAAAGGAATATTATTTCTGCAACAATCCAAAAACATATACATATCAAAAACTCTGTGAATGAGCTTTTTTGTGAAGGGTGACATAGTTTTGATGCATCAAACCAAAGCGAGTAATTCTTCTTTATTTAGAGGCAGCATATGCTTGTTGCATACATTCCTTACTTCAAAAATGTGACTACACAGAGAGTTTGATGATTGGAGTACACAGTAAAAATTGTAAAAAGTAGAATGGATTCGATTGTGACCTTTCAGTGCCTCTTTTCTTGTCGGAACAGAAAAGTAGTTGAATTTCTCCTTGGATTTCAATAATGGGGAAACGCACACCGAGAATGACTTGGAAATTTCGTTGTTGCTATAATAAGGCGAACTAAGGTGCCTTCGTATGATCAGAACTAATACACTCCTCATTCCCTTAATAATTCGACAGATTCTGTTCAAAAATCGTTTCACAGATGCCTTTAGCTGTTCAGACCGAAGAGCATAGAGTGTATCACAAGTTTTCTAATATAGTTCCTATCTCAATCCAGTCTTTGCGACTGTTCTATAATATTTGCATACGCGTTCTTAGGTCAATAGAGAATTTTTTAGACAAATCTCGATAGATTTCTAGTTTAACCATGACATGAACACTATCTTGATTTCTTGAGAATTCCAAAATAGAGCTACTCTTTTCAATCTACTTTGTTTTGCAACTTTTTTGGAGATTACCAAACTGGTTTTGAAGTGTTCATATAAGTGAAACAAGGAATGGACTTTGTTGCAATATATTTCGCTATGGGCTCATCGGAAGGTAATCTCGCCATGGGCTCATCGGAAGGTAAAATTACGCTTTGCTCTGTAAACTGCGCATTTAAGATAAATATCAATTTATTCAAAGCCATATTCAGAAGCAAAAGCTGTTCTGGCACCGGTCTTGGGGCAATTTCATGAGCTTGCAAAAGCCAAAAACTTCGAAAAGGTATACTTAACTGCGATAGCTTGTTCCCTTACCTTTTTAAGGATTTGAGTTGCAAAGCAATTCTTTTCCACCGCGATAATAGTTCACTGCTTTTCTTGTATATTAACTGCATGCATCACTGATCTAAAAATTTTTGTCAGCTTGCTGCCTTCTACGATCCAGACGCTGTTTTCGTTCAAGCTGGGAAGAGTGCAATTTACGGAAGAGAAGGTAAGATGTATGCCAAGTCGAAGTCGCCGAGCTATACCGATGTTGAAGGACAAATTCTCTCTTTCACAAATTGAAACGAACTTGACTGAATAATTGCTGCAAAGTTCATGCACGCTATCATGAAACTGAGCGTCTTCATTTCAGCTCTGGTGAAGAGTTTTGGAGAATTTCTAGCACGAGCGGGTAAGCTGACAAGAAAGGTAATCTGTCAAGTGTAAGTTATGATTCGAGTGCTTAAAGTTCTGTGTATTCAGACTTCCGATGAACAGTATGCAATGTGTGGAGACTTGATCATTTTGACAGCCAACTACGAGACAGAAACGGAAATGATGGGAGTGCTGAGAGGAAAATTCACTCAAATTTGGCGTCAAAACGCTGATAAGTATATGTTATTACATTTCGAGGATGCACTGAAATAGACGATATGTTGTACACCTTTAACTATCGGAGATTTTACAAAACAGTGTGTGTTCCGCTTATTTGAAGGCCATAGTGAGTTGAGTAAAGTACACCGTCAAATCTCGATTGATGCAGTTTTCCTATGGAATTATGCATCATTAAATTGTGCAGCTCTTTTTAACTCTATATCAATGGTAGTTTCCCATACCTGATTTGATTCATTTAAGTTTCCTACCCGCCGTCTCTTTAGCAACCCTCCACCGCTTTCTTTACATCTCTCTTCTCTCTAAGTACTCAAAAAAAATGACGTACTTCTAGTTTTCTTCAAAAAAAAAGATCTGATAGACCCTCCCTTTAAAAATTACGCGCCGAACGAATAAAGAGATCTTTTGTCCAGCAAAAGTGCATCATTATTTGAACTTTTTGCAAAGTGATTAATGTGTTTGAGAAGCAAATTTGCAAGCTAAGGATTTCAGCTCGAAAAGTAATCAAAAACCTATTTTTGCGAGAACGGCGCTGGATGATCGCTTCAATCGCTGTTTTTGTTGAAGTTCTACCTAAGAAAACGAGAACATCTTCTTCAAACAGTACGATGTTCATTGTTTTCATGGAACCATCAAGCCAGAATAAGTTCTGTACTGATTCAAATTCGTCTTTATTCTTCTGACAGGTTTCTTTTTTTCAAAGCTACAGATCTTGCATGGAGAAACTTTTTGAATAAATAGTTGCTAATGACAGTCAGCATTGCAGGGTAAGCTTTGAAGCTATATGCAAGAACGGAAGGCACACAGATAGCAGAACGTATGAGCCTCTGCAGAGGTTACGCACTGCTATGTATATCCTGCAGGGTGTCAAAAAATATGCAGACTATTTGATCATAACTTTCTTTCTTCTAGGTCTTTTAGGCTTAAGGCATACCTCACGCGATAATGGCTAAATCGCAGCTTTCTCTCGACTTGGCGATTTGCCAAATTTCTACAAGTTTATCGTGCGCGCTTCTCGAACATATATTTGGGTAGCTTGTGCAAGTTGTTGCAAACGGAGTAAGTTCTGACGAGAACCAGCGTATTAACGACGATTTACGAAGAGTCGCTGCTGGGCTAAATCGCGCAGCGATCATCGCATCACTCTGACGCATGGCATGCTGTATTCAGCGATGGCAGAGTGCGGCGGGCACATTCTACATGTAATCCAATGCCCCTATTCTCTCCTGAACGTTAAAAAAAATAGCTGTGGCTATCACCCGTTATGAATTTCGATACCGCATACAAGTAGTCTCCGGGTTTTACTATTTTAAACAAGTTCCCTTTGAGCTGGCTCCATACCAATTCAGTTGGATTATAAAAACAATGAAACGGCAGCCTTACGACCGCCGCCCCATATTCAGCGCAGATGTCTTCGACGGCGTATCTGCGTAAAGTAGATACGCCGCCATGGCTATCAATGTATTGCTGGAGCAAAGAACACTATTCATGGCCTTTCAGTGGTCGATGTCTCTTTCATACCTGTGCTAAAAGATCTGCTTTTCCACTACTCATGGGAACCGCCACTCCATTGCGCCGAAGAAACTCTTCAATAATCCTTTTGTGAAAGATCTTCTAGGGATCTTAAACTCTTCGTATAACGTTCTCGAATAGGCTAAAAACGAACAAAACCACCTTATTTGATACTCGCGAATGATAAGGTACATTATCCATCACTATAGATAAGCACCTATCCCCGGCTGCTTTCAACATGAGGGGGAGCGAGTCCCTTAACCATTCCTCGAAAAGGCCGTGGTTCATATCTCCATGGTGATCATCATCGATCAATCTCTGCCCGCTGAAGATCACCCTTGTGCATCCCATGATGATCCCTTCCTCACTCATGGAGCCAATAACGATGGCTCGTTTACCTTTGTTCATTGTGTGAGTTTTGCCACACGAAAACTCTTCCATTGTTGAAGCGGGGGCGAATTTAGGGATCGTATTATCATTCCAGCCCCTTTTCTCGTCATGTTATCATATACGTTTCATCAAGATAAACAATGAGGTTGTTGCGTCTTGCTTGCTCTATCTTGGTGAGGAAGCTAGCCTTTTTTCCACAATGCTCGGGTTCTCGAAAATACATCTCTGTCCATCATTTATTCTATAGGTGAATCCCACACTTCTTAAGAGGTAAAAGAAAGTGGTCCGTGATAGGGTAATGTGGGGTGGATTTCCTTTATTTCATTCCATAACTCCTCCACCGTTACATTTACATTTCTAAATTTTCCATGGACAAAATGGCGTATGACGTTTCCCCATTCTCCATCGTACTTACTATAGGCCTCTTTCCTTCGAAGCTGCCACTGCCAAGGCCCCCACTGAGGCTGTGCAGATGTATGTGGAATATAATACTGCTAGTTAGGCATTTGTAAACGCCACAGGCCAAGGCAGTTAGTTGAGTGGGGGCGTTAAAAATAGTGCCCGTACATTCCTTGCCCAGCTGCCTCTTCACTTCTTTGAGGAACGACTTCACATTACTAATATTGCTTTGCATTTTGCATCTAATTGTTAATCATGATGTGCCTTCGGAGCCATTTTATGTCAGACATGTTACTTTCATTCACTAAAAGATCTTGTAAAACTTGCAATCGTTATGAAAGGAAATAAAGTCTGCTCCACAGTCAAGTTGATATTGAGAAATAGCAACAATCGATGCCCATCGAAATGCTTTCTAAATTACTGCTCGATTCGAGAAAAAAAACAAGAACAAGAATCGACAAAAAAGTAGCTTTTCTAGAGTTCAACAATTTCCCGCTCTGTTGATCAAGCATCAAACGGCCGATCTGATTACAAGCTGGTAAATGATAAAAGCCCACATTCTGCTAAGACAATCTCATAGAACTCAGATTGTGAAGCATTACACTCGAACCTCAAATTGATTTTCCACTCGCCAAACATAAAAGTTATAATAGTAGTCAAAGAAAAGGAAAAACACCTCACTCACTGCTTTGAACGGATACTCACCTTGCCTAAAAAATGGAGGACATCACACAAAATTTTTTGGCGCTTTCTCGCCATTTCGAGCAGTAAAACGATGTCCTTAGATTAAAGATGAATGATCGTTCATAAAAAGGAGAGAACAGAAGCGAATTCGAGGTAATCCAAATTGAACAAATGACTCTCTTCAGATATAGACAGTTACAGGTAGAAGCAATCCAACTCCTAGCTAATCAAAAAAAATAGCAAACAATGAGGCAATAATTTCTTCAATTCTTTCAATTTAGGCCTTTCGCTGACCCTTAGCAGCAACAGAAATAGGGAAAAAAACATATTTCGCCGGCTTCATCCACTGAAAACAGCTGATTGCAGTTCGCGCCCCACGGCTAACTCTGCATCTCTGACTATCGCGCCGCAGGCCAGGGATGCAGACCAAGGGTAGCCCCAGCTTTGGAGGGGACGATACACATCATACTGCGACATTCAGGAAAGAATTTCTGACGCGCAACATGAATTTGCATAAGTATTTGTCTTCGACAATGTTCAATGCTATAAGACTGCCCGGACGCTGAACATCGTTTAGCACTTTTCTTATCATCTGCAAAGCTGATTCCATAAGATAATTACGACTTTTTCGGATTGTTCATTGGTGGTCCAATGTGACAATGAGTGATTATCCTCTGTTAATACAACAGCAAGTGCCCAAGCAATATTGATGAAGACATCGACTATGTTCATCCTGATGTAACACACTTAGGGATGAGCTGACAGTACGCGCATTGCTCTGAATTTCTCGCCTTAGTCAGGACATTTTCCAGTATATTTTGAGCGTGCTAAGTCTCAGATGGTTTGTGATGTGACATCTAAATCATCTACAGTTGGGATGGAACTGATACTCAGCGAAAGTTTTGACATTGCTTTGACGGTGGTACTTTTCGCAAGTGAAATGGGAATGCCTGGATAGGAATATGTACTCCCATGATGCGTTAGTCTCATATTTAGGCAATACAGATAACATCGTATGAACATGTCCTGGTAAGCATTCTACATTAAACACATGGATATGGTTGTAGTTCACTTACTGAGGAACCGAAAGTAGTTGTTGGTCATGTGTGGAAAATCTTGTCCTTTACCGCATTACCCACGGAGTCCCTTGACGGTGAACCATGAAAGTGGAGGGAATAATGTGCTGATCCTCCATTGTACCTACGGCGACAATTGGCTCGTTCGGTTGTGCTGGATTACCTAAATACCTATGTGTATAGTGAATCGTTGTTTGGTGGTTCCGTTGCTTTTCCTGGTAGTCCGATCACAAATCGGCATGTTGATTCTTGGAGGTAACTCGAACTTGGGTAATCAAACTTCGTTTGAAAACAGCACAACTCAACAAGGAAACAAACCAATACACAATAATCACAAACGAAACATTGATTTGGTTGGACACAAAAAGAGATGATTCAAGCAACTGAATGGCTTCAAAAATAATGACAATGCAAAAAATTGCATTCAAAAAATACAAACAAAAGCACGCAATGCACGAATGCTGAGCATCGGATCACGGACTGATGTAATGTTGACCGGTTGCAGTCGGGTAGGGGAACGAAAGCCACAAGTTTAAGCCGCCTCCGCGGACTACTGGTCCTGAAACGACATGCAACAACACTGCAAAAGGACCAATTGGCAGCGAAAGGCGGCTAAAACTGGCAGCCTTCGTTTCCTGCCCTTGCAGTCCAGTTTCCAGCAAAAAAATGATTTCTTCAGCCACCGTCCAGTAGTCATATAGTAACGTGGACGTAACATCAAATGCATCGTGTTCTTTACAGTGGAGGGCGGGCAGGAGGAATCAAAGGCCTGGCCGCCAGTGTCCGCAGGAGAGAATTAGAGGCGCGAGCACTGCGACGGAGATTTGGCCAGGATCCAAGAAAATTTGGCAAAAATCCGGAAATGTTCTCAAAAGCAGTGTCCGGGCAAAAAGTCGATTTTGAGATTTTGTGCTTACCCGGGCCTATTTGTCATGCTGAATCCGAAAATCCACATTGGAGAGCGCGAAAACGACGGAAAATGGCTCTAACGCAGGAGGGAAATCAGAAGTGAGCGGGGTCTTCCCTTCTGTGAGTTTACGTTCCAGCTTCTGGAGCGATCTTCTCGGT